TGGTAATGGAAAGGAAAAAAATTTTGAGAAATTGTTCTTCAAATTTTGGGAGCGTTCCGTTTTCGAATCATTTACCAATATTCTGGGTCATCCTTTCAAGTTCTTCTGCGTCTTTCTTAGGGAAATTTTGGTTCTGATTTAGTGCTGGAAAAAAACCCTCCTGTGATTCTGGTAGAACAAAATGAAAACTAAATGAGACATTATTATCAGGATTTTATTTACTAAGTTTTCATTTAGTTCTACCAGAATCCCCAGTACAACTGATGATCGTGCAGTTCTACTAGCACTCATTAGTCTCAAATAACAACGCCATCTATAAGTCTTTGCCTTCATGAATAAACGCCTCATGTTGATCGTCCTCATCTGAAATGAAGTGAATAGAAATAAATTTTCTTAACCAATCATCGAATTGCACTGATATTTAAAAACGTAACAATTAAATTTTTTGGGCTTTCAGTTTGTTTATAGACAATAATGAATTTAAGTGACGTTTTAATGAAATAATTTACAGAAGTTTGTGTCTATTATATTTCTTTCTATTATTGGGGTTACTCTATTTGCTGAAGGTAAACTAAGCAGTTTGAAATGTATATAAAGTTAATTTTTAACTTGTAATAATAATTTGACAATTAATGAATATATCTACAATTTGCTTACGTCGTTTCTTAGCTATAGTGTTTTCTTTGTTTGTAAGTCGCAGTGTTTATTGTGTAGGCAGTTCTTAAGCAAAATCCATTGAATTATATTTACATAGTTAATAATTAGTTGGTCTTTATTTACTGGTCTTTCATTTAATTATATTTAATATTTATCCTTTTTTTTGAGTACATGTTGAGTTTTTAATCAGGCTATTATGTTTTGACTAATTGGAGATATTACCGCATCGACATTTGTGGCAGAATAATCGCAAAGTGCTTGACAACTTGCGGCCCGCGAGAAACTAAAACATCACAGATAGGGTCCAACTCGAAGGATAAAATTCATAACCATCCCCTGGCAAACATCTATGTGTTTTTTTTTTTTTAAATTTCCAAGTTTCAAATCTATTTGGCACCTTGGAGATTATAGTTGGTGGGACAGATCACAATACGAAATATCCCTTTTAATATGCAAAAGGGATTAATTTTCAAGTGTTATTTTTCCACATTAGTTACACAACCTCTGGCTCTAGAACCAGAAAGATCCTTTAATTGACAATGTGTTACAATTTATATAATTTGCAATGTGTGTTATATGCAAATTATATCTTGAGTCCAATATATAATTTGCATATAAGAAACTCAAAAATTGTAGTATTGCAATTAGAAATGCAAAGATACAAACAAACAAAGATAAAATCTTTAGATTATTTTAAATTTTTTTTATATTGAATCACAGGGATTTTTATCACAACTACAGCAGTTATGATAATATATCCCGAATCACATATATGTAGTTTAAGGAAATGTTTAATATGGAGAGAGATGTATATATTTTAATATCCATAGAAACAAAAATTTGATTATTTTTAACAGGGAAAATTTAAGATATGCTGTAATGAAATTTATTAAAGACAAGAACATGCATTTTTTAAAATTTCCAAGATATGCTTTGAAAACTTTAGTAATCCTTTGTGCTTCCTTTTACTTTTTTAAAAAAATCAATATTGTTTCTAAAAACAATTATTTTAATTAATTCACATTAAAACTAAGTTCATGTTTATAAAAGTCCGCATATGTTTTTTTTTCTTGCTACCCTCTTTTAAAGAGAAAAGTTGTGCATATGTATTTCATATTCTGTTTATTTAAAGAAAATTTTGGGAAAACTTTCGTATTGTAATCTACGGCAGAATAATCTGTAAGTCTTAGCAACTTCCAGGCAGAGATCCACAAGAAACTAAAAAAAAAAAAACATAGAAAGGGACTAACTTAAAGGGCATACCCTGGGAAAACCTCTTCATCTTTTTTTTTTTAAATTGCAAGTTCAAAATTTATTCGGTGTCTTGGATTTGTAGTTGGCGCATAAAACAAGATATTTATAAGTTCCCAAATTTTTTTAGTTTCTCGAAAATTAAGGAGCACATTTATTGTAAAAGGATTTAGTTTCACAGTTAAATTTGAAAACTACGGATTCTAAGGACCCAGGAGTTCCAAATTTTGGTGTCCTTTTTACTAAAAGTTGGTCCCTTTGGAAAATAGTAAAAGTCTATGCTTTAAGGACATAAATAAATAATATTTAGGAAAAAGATGGGATTAGTAATTGATTCAGTCTAAAAAATAATACANAAGAACCATTTAAAAATGTATCTTTGAATTTTTGCTAACTTAGTAATTGATTAATTGCGTAATGTTATTTTAGAGTGAGTTAGTAGAAGTTTTCAACAAATAAATTTGAAGCGAGCGAATGATATTTGATGTGGCACAGAAAGAAATAGGCGACGTTTTTAATGAAAGAAATTCGAGCTTTGATGGAAATATCTCTGCAACCAAAATTAAAGAACTAAACAATTTATGTACAGTGCACGAAATGAAGCGAATACTCTGAATAACTTCTGATCTAATGATCATATTTTCACATTCTTAATAATGGTTTGAGGACTTATCCCAAAATGCGTAAATTAATTACTGCAGACGATATTTTGAGTTAGAAAATCCGACACTAAAGCACATTTTCTCTTAATAAACATACCTTTTTAAGATAGATTCGGATGCTGCACCCTTAAAATAAGAGGGACACTAATTTTAAGGGTGCAAAATATGATCAGAATAGTTTTTAAAGCTAGCTCTCGAAAGTGTGGATCGCATAATGTTAATTTCGCTATTTGTGAATTATCCCAAAACCTTTCTAAGAAACCATATCCCGAAAAATTTCTAATGGAATTAAAAAAAAATTTTCTCAGCCAATTATAAAATATGGCTATCATACCACGCAATAGTTAACTTTAATTAATTATTTATTATTTTTTTTAATAATAGACGATAAAGCCTGGAGTTGTAAGGTATGCAAATTTTTACATCATTTTGAAGAATGTAATTTTATATGGCAAAATACAAAATTGGTTTTTAAACTGTTTATAACTATAATCTAATTTAAATTATATTAATTTCCAAGCTATTTAATTCTTCCTTTCTAAATAGATGATAGTCAAAACAATTTCTAAATATAAAAAAATTAGTATTGTTGGTCCTTTTTTTTATATATATATATGTAAAAACTGGGTTTTGATGAGACATGTCAAAAACCTGTCGAAAACTGTCAAAATCTGACAAAACTGTCAGCAAGTTTCTTTTTTGTCATTGAGAACATGTTATTAGGCAAGATATTAAATCCTGCTCAATACTTGCATTATATACCACTATAATTAGGATTTATATTAGATGTCATGAATAAAAAAAATAGCCAAAATTATTGAAACCTTTTTTTTTTGTAAAATCATCGTACTCTTATTACTTTAAGCCCAATATTGCTATATTATATCTATCCAGTTTATATTACAGATAATAACTATGAGTTAATTATTTTCAATCTAAATATAGCTTGAATTTTAAGTTTTTGAATGAATTTTTTTTTATTTTATTAAGTAAGACTAAATTGGTCACCAATGATTGTCTGGTCTAAATTTTTAATGCTTTTCTTTTGATTCTCAATATTTATTGCTATTACTTGCGTGTAGGGAAGCTGAATATGTCAGATTGCAAGAACTAGGTTTTTGAGGGAATTCGGGCAGCCCTGTAAAAAAACTATAATATTTTTCTGATTAATAAACTGTATATAATTTATAAGAAATATAAATGTTTGTTTAAATAAGTTGTCAGTAATTTTGTCAGTTATAATTATTAGACTAAATTTCAAATTTACATGCTACTTTATGTTATAATAGTTTTAGTGTCTACTTTCTAATCCAGGCTGTTCAGTATTTGTCAAATAGTTTTGAATTTCGGTCTTATTCATACGAAAATGAAAAACTGATTTTTTTTTCTTTTTTCTAACAAATGCATAGGAGAAGAAATGAGTTAAAATGGGAGTAAATGAAAATTGATTTTACATATAATGAATGAGATGATTGTTAGTTTTTTAACAATTGTCAAAGGGATTTTTTAACATAGTGGCCAATTGTAGGAATATCTGTTTTTGCGAGCCATATTAATAGCAAGGTCAACAATTTTTTGCAATTGATGGTTTTAACTGTAAAGTAAAAAAAGGTATTTGACATGACTGTTAAAACTGTCAATTGTCAAAATCTAGTGATCCATTCCTAAAGTTGGGCAATTCCAAAGTTCAATGAAAGAAAATCAAAAATATTGAGTAAGCTGTATTCTGCTTGGGAAACCAGTCAAAATATTCATACTGAGTTTTGAAATAAGTTTTATACTTTGTTAATAAATGATATTGCTGACAGAACCATAAAACAATATTTTCTGTTGTTTACAGGCATCTGACAATTGTTTCTTGTCTCTGCGAATGGTGGTTGTTTTCAAAACACATTTATTTCTTTGTACTAAGAAGTGTTGTTAATGTGTTTAACTAGTTTTAAAACTTATTGCGAATAAATTTTCAGATTTTTTTTAAAAAATCTAATTACATTAAATCTAACAGTTCTGCTTTCATTTTTCTTTATTTGATTTTTTTACCATTAATTATTTTTTTGGACACTAGGTATGTTAGAAAATTTTGAACTAAGTTTAAATTTCTTTCTCCCCCTCTTCTTTTTTTTGAAACAAAGAAGCTCCAAAGTTTTGTAAGTGTTCAATATCTTTTTTATATGTTAATTATTCTATACAAAACAAGACTTTTTCATATCAAAATTGCTATGAACATATTTGATCAAAATAAGCGAACAACTGGAAAATTCCATCTGTTTGTAACTGATGTATTACTTATTTTAAAGAATCAATTGATACCATGTCTGTTATTTGATAATGTCAAACTATGTAGAATTTCATGTATTTTTGCCTTTACTTCGCAAATTAAATGTAGTTTAAATGCTATAATTCGCCATAATTTTTTTTTTTTTTTAGTTACAACAACTACAAAAAAGTTTGACAGATATTAAATTAATTGAAAAATCTATGGAAAAAGCAAAGTTGGGAAAAAGTTTTTCATTAGAAGTTCACAAGAGTAGACCATCAGATTTGATATCCTTTGATGAAAATTCTCCTAGATTTTGTGAAGACTTGACATTAGGCAAGGAAAATGATAAAAATGTGTTAAATGGTAAACTGAAACTTTACTTATATTATATAATTTCAAAATGTTTGATATACGTAAAAAAAAAAAAAAGACCACCCTGATTAACTATTTTTAACGTGAACTCTTTTTGATCTAAAGATTGGATTTTTAGGACTCAATGGTTCAAGGGGAATGACCACAAATATACTAATTAATAAGTGCAGACAATATTTTAAGTTGCAAAATCAGACACAAAAACATATTTTCTCTGAATAAACATACTTTTTTTCTCCGATTCGGATTTTTGACCCTCAAAATAACGGGGTTAGCCACAATCTGGGAAATATTGTTTCCATGGTTTGGTCAAGAGAGAGCTCCACAGTTTAAACCCTTTAATCCCAGTTTTACTTTTTGTGTTTTTCACTATATCTCAAACTGTTTAAGCTAATTGAAAATTTTTTACTCGCAATTATAAAATTTGTTTGTCCAAAGGTAATAATTTTTAGCAAATATTTAATTTAATTTAATAATGGTCGAAAAATTTTGAATTGCAAGGTATAAAATGTTTTGCATCATTTTAAAGAATATAATTTTATATGGCAAAATACAAAATTGGTCCAATAGTTTCTAAGAAATTATACACATTTTACAATTTTTAGTCTCCTTGACTAAACTATGGAGAACATATTTCCCAGATTGTAACTACCCCACATATTTTGGAAGATAGAAATCCAAATCAGTCAAAAAAAAGATATGTTTGTTCACAGAAAGTGCATTTTTTGTCTGATTTCATGCCTTCAAATATTGTCTGCACTTATTAATTAGCATATTTGAGGTCACCCCCTCAAACCATTAGGGTTGAGTCCTTAGAATATGAAGATGCGATCATTAGATTAAATGTTATTCAGGGTAGTCCTTTTTTTGCACTGTACATTTAACTTAATAAACTAAACTCAGTGGCGTGACAGCTCATCATGGGTGCAAGTCTTCCGTCCCCAGGAGGGATTTCCGTCTTTCGAAAATGTCCGCCGACGGAAACAAGACTGACTCAAAGATGGAAATCAGAATTTTTTTTTCTGTCCTAAAAATATTTTTTAGGTCTACGTTATTGGTCAATTTTCTTATGTCCTGTTGTTATTTTATCAAAAGACAGATGAATAAATATTTTTTGCATAGTATTTAAACTTGATGTATTATGGTAAAGCTTTCTTAGATAGTTTGCATATGTTGAGAGGGTATTGTGTATGTTAGGTATTTCAGTCAAAAAAATTTCAGTCTTGGCCTTTTTTCCAACTTGCACCCATGCAGCCCATAGAGGGCCAAGGCCTACTGTGCCCATCTCAGTTTTCTTGACCTTGGGCTCTGGGGTGCAGGAGCAGATGTTCCGGTCAGCCGAATACGGAACTCCCAGTGTTTAGTTCCCAAACATGCTTGGTACTCATTTATCGACCCACTGAAGGGATGAAAGGCTGAGACAACCTTGCCCGGCCCCAGGATCGAACCAGGGACCTGTGGCACGACAGCGCGAAACGCTACCGCTCAGCCACCGCATTTAACTTAATATGTAATATTAAATTTTACTAAAAACTAGAAACATTATTGCCTTTTTGCTCCGCTTACTTGAAATTACTCTTCCCAGTAGTCATTTACTTTGATCCATGTGAAATTTTTCGTTTCAAAATATCACCAAAACATAATTTTATAGTCTTCAAAACAATGTAGTTTAATTATATTTTTTTGCAGTTGGAAGCTTCAAAAGTAACATGCTTTGAATAAATTAAAATATTGTTAGTGTTCAATATGTGTATCTTTCTCTGCAAAATTTTCCATAAGTGATTGATTATTGATATATTATGTTATGATTGATTGTTATAATAACAAGGGTCCAGATAATTGCTGGTCTGTTAGTATGTGAGTTTTGGAATTTGACTCAAACCACCATTAAAATAATTATCGTATGTCCTCTGAACCAGCAATCAACGTAAACGGATGGTATATTGTTTTCGTATTTTTGTTTTTTGTTTTGGCCCATGTTAGCATATATCATTATAATTGTTAACACTACACCAGCAGCTAGATTTTCTTAATTTCTACTCCTTTATTAATGTAATTCATAATTCAAAGTATTAAAACTTAGTAAATCTGTGTGGATATATAAATATTTCATAAGAAATTAAGTATTTGTTTTTTCTTCTGTAAATGTTAATTTGTGTAAGAAGAGACTAGTTTAATTATTTTTTAGGCAAGTACATCCATCTATTCTTCCTGATTTAAGTTTTCTTTCAAGAAGATGAAGTCTACTTTGTTAATTTTCATTTGCATTGTTTTATCATCACTTGCTACCCACTTTTTTATCTGACTGTGTATATATTTTTTAAGACTTTCATTGTTTTGTTCCCACTGCTAAAAATCTAAAGCAAAGCAAAATATCTTAATCATTGATGTTTTAAACTGATTATTTTCTTTCGAGAAATTTTTTTTTAAAATCTCTAGTTTTAATAATTTAATTTAAATCATTGACGTAATTATACATGTTAGAATTTTTTTTTTTCATTGTTTACAATCTGTAAAAGTAATTTAATCTACTTTAATAATTATGTTAATTTTGTTTTTTATTAAACATGATTTACATTTTCATTAAATAAAAAAATCTAGAATTTTATGTAAATTGACTGGGAATATCAGGGAGAAATTTCTTCTTTTTAAATATGAACCTTGGAAAATATTGTCAATTATTTGGTATTGTAGATATTTTAGTTTAAAAAAAATATTTACTATAAATTATTTTTTATAAAGTTCACTTTTATTTCTTAACTTTTTAGAAAGTCTTTGCCATTCAAAAAGCTTAGAAGAAACACTGCAAGATAAAATAAAGAGCCAAGAAGCAATCATTAAAGATCTCAAATCAAAAGTGAATATTTAATACTTTGTTTTCTTTAAATTATAACATATTTTTATTTTAATAACATAAAAATTTTTTTCTTCCTTTTTTTAACCCCTAGCTTGAATTGCAATCTCACAGTGAAGATTATATGAATGTTAGTGCATTAGCTACTCCAGCTAAGACAAAGAAAGGTTTCTATTATTGTTTAATTCTTCCTTTTATTGATTACTGTTTTTTCTTTAAAGTTTTAAGACTTTATAATTAATTACTTCAAGAAATTATATTTTTCTAAATATGCTCTTAAAAAAAATTTATGTTTTAAAAATGATAAAAAATATTTTGAATGAGGGGTTTGGCAATACTGTAATAATTGCTGTAAAATTTTGAACTAAATTACCTTCATATTCAGATTTACAGTGACAATTATTGTCAAGTCAAGTTAGTCCTGAAGCTTAACATTTCTTTTAACTTTGTTTTGTAAAAAAATTGTCCATAGCAATATTAAACTCATATTATAAGATCAAAGACTTAATATCAGGACTACTTCCGGATTTTCAACACATCTTTTATGCAGCATGGGAAGTTTTATTTAGAACTTTTATAAATTGATCACTCATTCCGAGGATGTTTTTAATTATACTGTCATCCTCAATATTTAAAATGGTCATTTTTTAGGATCAAAATTCTGAACAGTCTTCATGAAGTTTATGCTGATTTATAAAATATGAATCTGTGTTGGGCTGCAGTGAATTAAAAAAGGGTGAAGTGGGTGGGAAAAGATTATGAAGACAAGTTTATCTGTTAAATGAAGACATTTTGATGTATTAAAACAAATTATGTGGATAAATTACTGCAAATTCTGAATTTTTCCACTTCTTTGCTCAATTTATATTGCCTTGTGTAAAATATTTGGTTGGGCTCCTTTGCATCATTTGTTTTCTCAGCTTAATTGTGATTGAATCTAGAGTTTAATGATGTAATAACTAGAAGTGGCTTTATGAACAAGATAAAATAGTGTTATAAATTAAGTCGAAGGCAAAAATGAAGGATAAATAATGATTGGAAGGAAAGAAAAAATAATTTGGTGTACTTCTAAATCTAGTTATTGTCAGTAGTTATTAATATAAATGTTTCTCAAGATTTTATTTTTAGCAATATATTTTATTTTTAATAATGTATTCTGTTTAGATACAAGCCTGTTCTCAGGAAGAGAAAACTTTAGCTTTTTTGACGGTTTTACCTCTACACCTGCTAAGAATAACAAAGAAAGAGTTTTGAAGCATCAAAGTGATGCTACAGTTGTCGATTCTGGGAATGACAAAGTAATTATGTCTTACCTTTAGTTTGTTACCTTTTTGCTTGTGCTCAGTCAAATTTGTGCAAAAAAATATATTCTTATTCAGTAATATTTCCTTTAAATAGCATGGAGAGAAATTGGTATGCTGTCTTAGAAAGAAAATATCTCTTGCCTTAAACTAAAATCAGTATTGAGATTTGTTGATGATTATTTTGTTAAATTGTACTGAAATGTAACTGGGTGTAAGCATTATGCAATTATGCCTCTTAATGTGACTGCTTTTAGCAATTTCATTCCTTCAAAATGTAGGAATTTTTGTATCATCTGCTTTGGTTTGACTCAAAAATTAAATCTTTACAAATATAATCAAATTAAAATTATTTGCATTTGATAACATTTTGAAGTCGATGGAGGTAACCCCTAAGAGCTACCAATCTCCAATAACGACCATTTTACTGTGGATCAGAGAGTGGTTGCGCTCGAAAGGTTTCACTGTATTGGAGCTATTAAATTTATAAAAGTACACTATTTAAAAATCTTTAACTATTATTATTTTTTGAACTTCGAAATCCTATTGAAAATATCATTGGGATTCTTTTTGCCATTTTAATTAAAGAATTTATTAATAGTAGTTGCCTCTGTGACAGAATCACTGCGACATTGTCGCAGAACATTACAGAGTTCTTCCAGATAAAATTTTCCTTTGAAACATAAAATTTTTTTGAAAAATAATAACGTAACATTTGAATAATGCATTAAGATAATCACTTTTTAACACGCTCAATTTACGCTGATAGTTTCCTAAATCGATGTAATGTTTCGATTGTATTTTCGGCAGATCGATTTTTAAGTACCTCGATATATTTCAAACAATATGGAAAATTCGAATCTTGCATTTGAGTATTTACTTTTCAGGCAATAATTCTATTGAATTTTTGGCAATTATTGCTTTTGATTTCTCCATAGTTTTTAATTCTATTTTTTATGCGACCTTATTTATTACAACAATTGAGAAGTCCGATTCGCGTAATTTCATTGTCTTTTTTCGGCAATACTAGTACAGATTTGGTAATTTTTAATTATTTTTTTATTGTGATTATTTGCAAAATGCGAAGGAAAGAATTTGTCCCCCTCCCCCGAACAAAATGTTAAAATATCACCTATAGAATAAAGAGTTATTACATGTTCAGTAAAAAAATTTGTAGTTTTCTTTTGTAAGCACAGCGCTTTTGTTATTTTAAATTAGTTACATATATTTTTGTTATTATTAAAAGTAACTTGCAGAAATATGTTAGTGCTTGAGAGTTTTTGTCGCTGATAGCTTGAAAAAATTCTGCTACAGGGGTAGTTACTTTGATTACATTATTTATTGCTAGAGTCTGTGCTAAATTTTTATTTTAATATGGTAGTTTGTTTCTTTTTCATTACTCTCAGATTCTGTGTTTTACAGTCCTTTGGTCAGGAACCAAGGAAAAGATTTAGTGAAAACCAAAAAGAAAAAAAAAAAAATTAATTGTTTTTCTTTCAGAACACTGCTTTAGAAAACCGTTTGAAACAACTTTGTCAGGAACTTGATTGTCAAAGGCACAATTTTGAAGCTACAAAAAATGCTATGGAATTGAAATTTAAAGAGAGTGAGAACATACTAAAAACAGATTTAAAGTTTCAAGTTCAAGGTATTTTTTTGCTTAAATTAAAAATTTAATAAGCTTGATACTTTGTTAATATATATTTGTAAAATATGTAGAAAAAGTTTTGTTTTATCGTAATGTCTTTTTTTTAAATTTATTTTTTATTTTTATTTTTTAAGCCTGTGCAAGTGTGGAGAAAGAACTTAATGAACTCAGAAATAAGTACCAACAAGAAACCTCACAGTCTTCAAAGAAATTGGATATGATTACACTACAACTAAATAAATCTGAACAGCTTAAAACGTGAGTATAATTTCTGAAAACTTTATGTTACTTACTTATAGTTTCTGAAAACTTACTTATACTTTAACTACCGCTGCTTAACTTTTAATGTAATGTCTTATGTTTGCCAGCTTGATTATAATAACAAAAATTGAAACTAGTACTTATTATTAGACTACCTTCATGTAATTATATATTACTCAATTTGTAAAAAGTTTCTGAGCCTCTAAAAGTCCCTGAGCATGTAACATTTCAGAGAAAGGAGAGCTTATATATCAATAAAATTTTATTATAACTATTCAAACAATATCTGAACAACATGTTAATGTTAATCTGTACATATAATAAAATATGGTGCTTATGTGTTGCTTTCTCTGTTTTGGGCTGTCAGAAACAGTAACATATTCAAAAGTAGAATCTTAAGTTTGCACCCACCAAATCCCAAGTGTTGAATATTTGATCAATTTTTTTAAAAATAATTATAAAATATTGCCTATTTTTATATTTCTGCACATCACAAATCATTATATTCCGATGAAATACTGTAAAAAAATACTTTCATTGCCTGTTATGCGTTTTTAGTATGATTAACAAAATATTTTTTGACATTACTTTCCGCTCTGTTTTTATATTACATATAAGAATCTATAACAGATATAAACTTGAAATTTTTATATGTATATTAGGATTCTTCCTTTCACGTTTAGTTACTATTTAATTTTTTGTTTAAGTAATAAGAATATAGTAAATACTATATTCTTATAACTTACTACATAGATGATTGTGCTCCGGATTTCCGGAATTTTCACTAACCGTGATCCGAAAGTTTCCTTAAATCCAGGGTCCAGAAGTTTCAAGAAATCATCCATCCCATTTATGCATAAAAATTCTTGAATATTTTATTTTAAAATATTAGAACTAAAATTTATATTTGGCATCTCTTTCATTTGTAACTATTTTTTCTGGTAGACTTAGTAAACTTATACATAATTAAATTATTCATTTAAATTATGCTGCTTAAATTTATTTAAATTTTCATGCTTTGAAAATATCAATGATTTAAATTTATAAAGACATTATTTTTTGAGATGCATCATTAAAGATTTTACTCAGGGAATTTTCAGGATTTTTGAATTGGGCTCACAATCACCCCTGTTATTAATATATATCTTATTATGCTATAATACAGTGCAGAACATCTTATCCGGAAATCAGAAAACCAGATAACCGGAATGAAATTCGGAACCAGAAATTAATTTTCTTCCGTTAAAAAATTTTTTTTCCCTGCAAGATTTTGAGCCCATTTTGTTATTTAGACCGTACAGCGTATCGAGTTGACGAAAGAACTGATTTAGAGGACGGATCAAAAGCCGTTTGTAGACGAATCTCACATAAGCACAAATAGCTTATGTATGTTATTAATGTTAATAATAACATATATAAGCCTCTATATAATTTTTATTTCATAATTTCTTTCCTTATTTAAAATTTAGTGTATTATTATTTATAATTTTTTATTTCTAAAACTATTTCAAAATAATTTTTTAGTTTCGTTTTATAAACATTAAAAAAACGGCATTTTGTAGTGATTCAGAAAACCGGAAAAATCCCGGAATCACGATGGTCCCGATCGTTCCGGATATTCGGTTCTCTACTGTATCTTATTATTTTTTATATCTTATTACTATAGTCTTATTTTGTTCTCCAATTACTTCTCAGAATATTTTGATGTTCAAGTGTGTTCTGTTTACAAATTTAGTCACATGTTTATTTCTGAAATACTTAATGTTAAAAGTTTTTTAAAGAAAAGTATTTTATCCTCTAAATAATAACTTTACCTGAATATTCATTATTTTTTAGAGCTTTACGATTTGCAGATTACCATTATTATATAACTTAGTTAAGTTAACATTAGAACTACTATAGTTAAAAAAAATAATTCTAAGAAACAGAAGTGGTAAGATATTTCCTGATTAAAACTTCATTTGTCTCAAAAATATACAGATAGAAAATAACAGTCGATATGTTTCAAGAGCTTCAAAAATAGGCCAGGTACGAATTTTCATATTTACGTTTGTTTCTTCACATAAACGTTTAGCAAGTTATGAAAATGAGTGCCAAGTTATATTAAGCTCTTGCTAAGTGTAAATGTATGATTCTCCAAAAGCATGACACTTTAATAAACTCTATAAGCTTATAAACATTTTTGAGTAGTAAATTTTTCTCTAGCACTTCTCAATTGTAGTGAAAGCATTGTTTTTCATTTCATATACGTTTTGTTTCATATATAGCAAGATAGAAAATACTTTTAAATATCCATTTATTAAAGTAATATTTTTTATATTTTGATGATTTTTGTTTCTGAATTACAATGTATTATAATTCTATTTCTGTATACATTAATTCTTTATTATGTAGAATATATCGATTTAGTTTAAAAAGAACTTGTTGCAAGAAAATAAATATATTGATCTGTCTATATTCTATTATTTTGATCTGTCTATTTCCGAAATCAAGAGAATTCAGGTTCTGAGATTTCTTACCATATGTATTCACAGAATCACTTAGTTTTTTTTTTTTTAAAATAATTTTGTATTGACTTGTTCTTGTCTTTAATTTTTTTTTTTTTTTAAATATTGAATGCCACACAAAAATAAATTTTCAAAGCAGTGAATGAAAATTTTTTTTTAGCCCATCACTTCCCTTACTTAAAAATAGTATGTGTTACATGAAATGTCCTGATTCTTTTGTAAAATGTTGTCCAGATTTTTTATTTTGTACAACTACAAAGCTTGATGTATAATAAAACAGTTGTTTGGAAAAATGATAGCAGAAACTGTTATACGCCTTAATTTCAAATTTCAAATAGGAGATAGAAACAGGTAAATTAGATATTCAAAGCTCTAAATCAACCAATAGAATGACGAAAATAAATAGTGTTGTTTGTGTGAGATTAAATGTTCTCTTTTTTCGTAAAATGAAATATTTCCTGGTTCAGGAGAGTGACTTGAATTCCTTTGGACAAACTTTCAAATAATTCACCTTGGTGAGTTAAGTAATTAAATTGAATTATAAGATATTATTTTACACATTCAAATATAGTTTGCTAATACTACTTTAAATATAAAATTTTAAATCCATGCATAGGCTAAGAGAGTGACTTTTAGGCAATTTTAAAAATAAAAAAATTAGGAATTTTAAGTAAATCATCTTTGTTATATCCATAGAAAAAACCATGCTTTAAAAGTAAAAACTCCGTCAGGCTAGTCTTTAAACGTTTTTGGAGAATCATCAAAATATGTTGTTTTTTTTTAATATTGTATCTATATTGACTTAATCAGTTTTATGACTATAATATAAATATATCTTTTAGTCAATATGAGCAAGAGATAAAGAGACTTGAAACAAAATTGAATGATTCAGAACAGATTTTGAGAAAAAAAGAAGAGGAATTTCAAGAACTACAGAAATTAAAAAATGTTGCTGATATGACATGTCAATCATTACAAGCACTGAAGTCTGATTTAGAAAAAAAATGCAACAGTTCTCTTAAAGAAAATATGATGTTGAATGATCAAATTAGTTCATCTAAGATTGAACTTGAAAAAAATGTTAATCTCTTGAAAGAAAAAGATTTATGCTTATGTAACATGAAAAAGGAGATGGATTCCATTTCACACTCTTGCAACAATTTGGAAGTAAGTAGTTTATTTTTTATTGTATGTCTTAAAGTTGTCATCTGCTAACTTAAATTTTTTCATTGTTAACACGTCGATAGTGAACACTTTTCTAAATAAGCAATTGATGTACTTGGTTAATTATTTTAATTTGTAATATTTAATGTGATAGAGACTAAAATTTTTTTAGTTATTTAGGAAATGTAGAAAATTACTACATATCGAACAATATTGGTGTCTATCTCTTGAGCTGCCAAATAACTGTTTTTTATTTTTTTTAATTCTCTTCTGTCTTCACATATTGTAACTGGGCCCTATATTTTCAATTCCATTTGATATTCTTTACTGAGTTTGAAGTATCAAACATACAGTAAAGTTTCAGATATTATTATTTTTTTTAAATTTTTATTTTTAATTTCTTAAATTAAATTGAAAAAAATTTTTTTTAAAGAAAGTTCAATTAAACATTAGCTACTATTGCAATCATAAAGTTTGTAAATGAAGGCATGCCTTGTTTTGCTAAATATAATTTTGTTGCTTCCTATATCTGATTTATTTACATTTTAGGGTAAAATAAAGGAATTAGATAACAAGTTAAGAGCTTCTGAGGCAGATTATGCTAATCTTACCAATAAATTTGAAAAGCTTGTGGACAGTGAGAATTCCTTAAAGTCTCTCTCTGAAAAGTTGGAGAAAGAAAGAGCTCAGCTCCAGAACAACTTGAAGGAAGAAAACAGTAAATCTCAACGACTCGAGTTAAATGCACAGAAACTAGAAAAAAATATTCAGACACTTCAAAATCAATTAGAAAATAAAGTTCTAGAATTAAATGGACTTAATGATGAGACGAAACTTGCAAAGGAGAAATATGAGGTAAGTTTGGATATTTTGCTTTCTTTGACGAATTTTCTGTTCTCTTTTGTGTAACATAAAGAGTTTCAGGTGTTAATTTTTTTTTTAATAATTATTTTTATGCGTAATTTCTTAAATTAATATAAATTTTTTTTTTTTTTTGAAAAAGAGTTAAATCAAACATTAGCTATTATTGCAAACATAAAGTTGATATATGAAGGAATTCCTTGTTTTGTTAAATATAATTTTGTTGATTCCTTTATCTGATTTATTCACATTTTAGGGTAAAATAAAGGAATTAGATAACAAGTTAAGAGCTTCTGTGACAGATTATGCTAATCTCACCAATAAATTCGATAAGCTCATGGCCAGTGAGAATTCCTTAAAGTCTCTCTCTGAAAAGTTGGAGAAGGAAAAAGCTCAGCTCCAGAACAACTTGAAGGAAGAAAACAGTAAGTCTCAACAACTCGAATTAAATGCACAGAAACTAGGAAAAGATATTCAGACACTTCAAAGTCAATTAGAAAATAAAGTTTTAGAATTAAATGGACTTAATGATGACACGAAACTTGCGAAGGAAAAATATGAGGTAAGTTTGCAAATTTTGATTTCTTTAAAAAAATTTCTGCTCTCTTTTGTATTACGTGAAGAGTTTAATGAAAGAAGATTCTGATACAGTAGAGTTTCGGGTATTAATTTTTTTAATAATTATTTTTATGCGTAATTTCTTCAATTAATATTAAGTTTTAAAAAAAAGTTAAATTAATCATTAGCTTCCATTACAAACATAAAGTTGGTATCCTTGTGGCAGAAATTTTTTGGACTTTCTGCGACATACCTCTCTAATACTAATATCTTTCTGCAAGATACATTTAAAAATAACAAATATACATGTTACTAAATTAAAGTAACAAAAGCATAAACTTCACAAAAAAAAATAAACTTTTTGGATCAAATAAAAAATTTTTTTTAATTAAATATGTAATATTTTTTATTCTAATATTATGGGCTATATTCTCGCATTTTGTTGGGGGGAAAACACACTAATTATTTTCGCATTTCGAAAAATCATTATCTAATTAAAAAGTATTTTTAAAAAGTCTTGAAATCCGTAGCAGTAAGTCGGACTCTTCAAAAAAGGGTTACTAAATGCACGTTTTCATTTCGATATTCAGTTGTTGTAATAAATAATATCATATTAAAAATATCGAATTTTAAAACTATGTGGAAATCAATAGTAATAACCGCATTAAAAAAAAAAAACGAAATTTTCTGCAGAAGAGAAACAAAATTTTTAGTACATTAATCTTTATCTTTGTTCTCAAATGAGAATAGATAAAGCATTTTTTTCACTCGGATGCTTGAAAAAGGCATCTTTTGAATATAATTCTGAAGAAAAATAAAATCTCTCTGCAACGTTCTGCGACAATGTCGCCGTGTCGCCACGATTCTGCCATGGGGGTTGGTATATGAAGAAATTCCTTGTTTTGTTAAATATAATTTTGTTGTTTCCTTTATCTGATTTATTCACATTTTAGGGTAAAATAAAGGAATTAGATAACAAGTTAAGAGCTTCTGAGACAGATTATGCTAATCTCACCAATAAATTCGATAAGCTTGTGACCAGTGAGAATTCCTTAAAGTCTCTCTCTGAAAAGTTGGAGAACGAAAAAGCTCAGCTCCAGAACAACTTGAAGGAAGAAAATAGTAAATCTCAACAACTCGAATTAAATGCACAGAAACTAGAAAAAGATATTCAGACACTTCAAAGTCAATTAGAAAATAAAGTTTTAGAATTAAATGGACTTAATGATGAGATGAAACTTACGAAGGAAAAGTATGATGTAAGTTTGCAATTTTGATTTCTTTAACAAAATTTCTGCTCTCCTTTGTATTACGTGAAGAGTTTTATGAAAGAAGATTGTAAGTAGTAGTTATGAAAATTTTATATTTTTCGAAAAATAATCTTATTTTTATTGAAACTATGCCTCATTAAATTATTCTTTCAAATCTTTATTTCACAGTTCTCCAGGTACTCAGAGATGCCAACTATTATTATTTATCCAGAATTATTATTCCATAGACAAGGTTATGGTTTTACGGTAGGCTAATAGAAATTATGGTTTTTCAGAACTTCTGCCATAATCTGTTTAAAATAAGTTTTATTCCTTTTACTACCTAAGTCATGAAATTTTATTGTGTATAACTAAATTATGATTTTTTTTTTGTGCTCCTTAACCACTTCTGTAAGCAATAAACAAAAGCAATTAGATACAAATAAGAAATATAATATAAACTGCTAGGAAATCTCATCTTTCCCTTTTCCAACAAACTTCTGAAATTTAATCTTCTCTCTTTATAAAAAAGCAAAAGAATACAAACTGAAATATGAAAGATTATCATCTTTGCAATAAGAGCTTGTTATAATTTAATCTAAATCAGATCATTGAGTCCAAATTATCAATTTGCTCTTCTTATAATGCAATTTAAAATTTCTGTGTTGTATAATTTTTAATTTAGCACCTTTATCTAAATCTTGATTTTTAAAAAAAAATTATTTGTAACTTCATGTCTATATTTTTTAAATATTGTATAGAATTAAGTAAAATAGTCACCTTAAAATTGAACTCATTTGAATTTTGTATCTGTTAACTGTATATATATTTCTGTGTTATTTCTGATTGTATAGCTAGTTTGGAAAGTTGTCTGTCAATTGGAAGATCACAAGCAAGAAATGAATGCAGGGCATAATATTTATTTTTAATTGTCAAAATATTATCTAAAAGTTAATTTATGCAAAATCACTAAAATGTCTCTTAAAAAATTTATCCACTCATGTCTTCATAAGTGATGTACCCTAACTACATCAATGGTTTTGTGATATGTATGAAATCTCTTCATGTGGTTATGGTCCACAAGTATCTTTTGGCTAATGCAAAATGAACAGGTATATCTTGCCATTTTTAGTGGCAATGAGGAATTATAGAATCTCTGTCAATATATAATAAAGCTATCATTATAAATATGTGCATAATTGCCTCAAAATATGCATAGTGCCAACTGCAAAACCTAGATTTTTTTGAAATTTAGTGCTTTTTTTATTAGTTAAATTCTGGCATTTTTATAAAATTCAAATATAGATTTTTTGTTAATGATAAAAAAGTTCCTTGAACACTTAATTTAATTAGTGTGCATAAATACTTTTGTACCTTTTTGTATAAATGCAGGTATCTGCAAGATAAAAAAAATATTTACACCTGACATACACAGCTGCATTTTCATTATATGTCATATCAGTCGAATGACATGCATGAAATGACCTCTACTCCAAAGAATCAAAGTTAAATAGTTGCAAGGGCGATTATTTTGATAAAAAAAATTATAGTTTATCTATGTTAAGAACTCCCCCTGCCATACAGCCTGAGACTGTCTGCTGCTATGAAAACAAGGATAGCGCATTTCAGGGAGGGCAGCTTCTCTTCACTTTAGGTCTAACACAGTGGTTCCCAACCTGGGGGCGATATAGATAATCCTTAGGGGGGGCGACGAGTATCAAAAGATAAAAATTGCTAATAATATTAATAATAAAAGCTATTTGAGATTGAAATAGAAAATATATATGAAACCTATGGTTCTGGCGTAGACAAAAAATTATGATAGTTAAAAATTAAAAAAAATTCAAGTGCAGCATCGTTTTCGTCATACGTTTCGGTATCGCAGGCGGAAATCTGATAAGTCACTCTGTTCCTCTGAGCAATAATACTATTTCCAGGCGTATTGATAAGATGGCCACCGACGTTGAATCAAAACTCATCAAATTTCTGAAAGAAGGTAAATTTGCGTTGCAGATTGATGAATCAACTGTGATAGATAACAAAGCTGCTTTAGCTTACTTGAGATTTATAAATGAGAGTGAGGAGCTTAACGAGGAAATGTTGTTTACAAGAAATTTGAACGCAGATACAAAAGGATCGACAATTTTTAAATTGGTCAAAGATTATTTTGAGGTAAAAGAAATTCCCCTCACAAATGTAAGTGCTTGTGCAACAGATGGTGCTCCAACTATGTCTGGTTGTCATACTGGATTTCTGGGTCACCTTAAAAAAGAAGTACCGGAAGTTATCTCACCATTCATTATGTCATTCATCGTCAACTTTTGGCGGTTAAAAATTGGTTATTTCCGGCATCAATAAAATAAAAGCTAATTCTCCTAATAACCGTTTGTTCCGAGAACTTTGCCATGAAAATGATGAGGATTTCGAATTCCTGCTCCTACATACAGCTGTGAGATGGCTTTCAAAAGGAAACTGAGCCGTTTCTTCGAATTACTGGATTCGGTTACTGAGTTTCTCGACGCCACTGATCCTGCTTTAAGTGAGAGTTTGAAGCAACTCAAGTTGGAAACTGCGTACCTCACTCATAGTTTTGAAAAAATGAAGGAAATCAACGTAAAATTTCAAGGAAATAAAATGAACATTATCAAGGCTTATCTTCATTCATCGCCAAGTTTGATACTACAAGTCAAACATTGGTCGCAAAGAGCTAATGCAATTTCCAACTCTTAAAAAGTGCTCAATGGCAGATATCGAGATTCTCGATAATAAAATCTTAATTTTTACTGATCACCTTGATCAGTTATGGAATCAATATTTAAAGATTTGATGAAATTAGAAATTCCGGATTGGATTTTCGATCCTTTCTCTTTTGAAGTTGTGGGTAAGCTCACTTCCTCTTTGTAGACTGAGATTTTAGATTTGAAGTATGACTGTGAGGCTAAAGTCGTCTTTAAAAAATACGGTTACGAGCTAGCTTTGGTAAAGCTTATGGACACTTATCCACAATTGTGGAAACAAACTGAGCTGCTTCTCATCTCGTTCCCGTCAACATATTTAGTGGAGAGAGGATTTAGTTCTGTCTTCCAGCTGCTCACAAAGCAAAGAGATAGGTTGGACATTTGCTTCAAAGAAGACCCGCGTTTAAATCTGACGAGCATAAAACCTGACATTCATGCTTTAACTTGTAATACATCAAGCACAGGACAGTCATTGAAGTGGTAAAAATGTACTTTCTCCCTCTTCATTTTTTTTTCTCAAATTTTAGTTGTTAACGTTTTAACTTTTTCTTGATTGCATTAAAATATGAATTTTAAAAAATGTACTTTTATTTTGATTATTCCGTTTTAAATATCATTTCTTTTTTAAAAATAAAAAAAAGATGCACAATTTTTTTTTAATTAATAAAAATGACAGGATAAATGTGCCTCCTTATTTGCATTACAATTTAAATTAAAATCAAATAACATAATTATATGNCTATACAAATGTACTCTACTTTGGTAGTTAATTGGATCAATCAATTGATAGAAAAGTAAGAATTGGTATTCTATATTCAAACTTGTAAAATAATTTCAAAATCACAAGTGGTATAGGGAAAACTAAGCTACATGAATAAAGCATAAAAATAAGCATACTTTAGTTTCTCTTCTATAAACAAAAACCTTTTATTGGTTTCGAAGTGCAAAATATAAATTCTTGTGTATGGAACTGATACTACAGTTTACCTTTTTTTGTGTTTTATTCACAAGTACCTCTAAGTATATCATTTGAATACTATAGATATACAGTGATCCCTCACTTATGTGCGCTCTCTTTTATACGCGTTTCTCACTTATGCGCGCTTTTCTAGCAGTCCTGGCCGGGGATATAGGAAAACAATGATAACTCTTTTTCATTTATGCACTGCTCTGAAGAACCACCTCTCACTTATGTGCGGCTCAAAAACTTTCTCACTTTGAAAAGCAGGGGTCTCAAAAGTGTAGCATATTGCTTATCATAAGAATTTCCATCCTTTTGACATGTTTTTCTTGGAATGCTCACGTTTTTCTTATCTTTGTGTGGTATCACATATTCAACCCTTGGATCTAAGCATCATCCGTTGTGTAAAAGTACACAGTAGAAAACTTTAACTCGTCGTCTTTTGGCTGCCATGGAAACAAAACTTCAGGCAAAAGACGAGCTAAAACAAATCACTGTCCTTGATGCAATGCACATGATGTGCTCATCATGGAGAAGCATCACAGACAAGTGTATTCAAAACTGCTTTAAAAAAGCGGGATTTCTGCTTCAAGAAGAATCTGAATGTGAAGAGCCAGAGCCCGAAAATGAAAACGGCATTAGTGAAGAGGATTGGAATACTGTGTCTGGTGGAATGGGTAATTGTACTTTTAAAGAATTCGTTGACGTAGATGAGCATTTAATTACGGCTCAAATACGAGATATTGGAGAAATTGCAGCTGAAATAAATGGTGGCGACAATGATGTAGAGATAGACGACATTGATGAAGAAGATATCACAAAAGTTCCCCCAACTCACACACCCGCTTTACACGCACTAGAAACTCTGCGTGATTATTTTCAATTTCATTCTGGAAGTGAAGGAACTTTTTCAAGTCTTGATGGACTTGAAAAGGCTCTTTTTGAAAACTCCCGAAAACAAAAACAAACCTCGATTGTAAATTATTTTGTGAAAAATTCATAATTGGAATAAAAAATTAAATTATGGTATGTAAGCATTTTAATTTTTTTTAACTTATTAATTTATAGTTAAATAGATTAAAATTTGAATCTCATCTTATTTAAATGTTCAGTCAAGTATACATAGTATTAATCCGAAATATAATGTTGTAAAATGTATTAATGTTCTATTTTTAAGATCTTTATTATGGCTTTTCACTTATACGCGTGTCTCACTTATATGCGCTTTTCGTGTGGCCCCTCGCTCCCTCGCATAAATGAGAGATCAATGTATATGGAAAAAGAAATTTTAAAATAAATGAAGCATTCTATTACTTCACAAATAAATATGTATATAATTATTTATTTGATGCAGATAATTTATAATTCAAGTTAATTAAAAAATATAGTTTTCAGAAAATTATTTTTTGTTTATTTACTATCAATGTTTAATTCTAAAGAAATTGTAGCATGAACTTTGATACTAAAGAGTTTCAAACTGATTAAAAAAGGTTTACTAGTTTTACACCAAATTATCAGTCCTTGTAGATTATTTGGATTTGGCTCAACCGAACTAACAATCAATAATGAGAAATATTAATTTCGCACTTAATCTGTTCCATTTTTTTCCTAATTATTTTGTTCTTAAATTGTTTTATATTCTAGGAAACTATAAAAGAAATGGAAGCTAAAATAGCAGATACTCAAGCTGAAGTATCAAATACATCAAAAGAAGTGGAGAGATTGACAAATGAAAAGTCATCACTTGAAAATTTGTTAGAGAATTTGGAAAAGAGAGAAAAGAATATTAATGATCAATTATTCACTGAAACTGAAAAAAATAAAGCTCTTTCCCTTGAAATTGATGAATTGAAGCGAAATGTTGAAGAGCTTAATAAAAATCTTACTATCAAACAGGAACAAACTCTAAAACTTAGTGAAAATTTAACTAAAGAATATGAGGTAATTGTTTTTTATCCTTAGATATATTTTTAATGTTTTATTCTTATTTTGTATTTGTTACTTTAATTCTAAACTTTTCTTTGGTTAGGCTTAGCATGGTTTGTAAAATAGTGTTTGACATCTATAAGATATAACTTTTTATAATGCAAGTTTAAAAATTGATTTTGTTCGTAGTTAAATACTCCTTTATTATAATTGCAGTGGTAATTTTATTCAATTTGAAATCTCACTAGAACTGCAATCTGGGAAACATCTCTGAGGATCATCTGAAAAAATGGCAGCAAAATTTTGGCTCTTTGCTGAGGGGAGGACTTCCCTACTTCGATAGTACAGCAACCCAGCAAAGGAGCATTTTGCATTAGAACTGTTTAACGAAGACAGTTGCTATGCACCCCTTTGAGGCAGATCAAAGTGATCACCCAATTGTAAAAGGACCGCATCGAATGATGCTTGATTTTGGTAATCTACTGGGAACAATATCTTATTAGTCCACTGTGGAACCAGTCATTTACATTCTAAATTTAATACTTAAAAGTAAAAATTATTTTATCCATAGAATTCCCTTCTTAAATCTTATGTAGGCTGCTTTAAGCTGTGTTTTATTTTTACTTCTGAATATTCTACCTATAAAATTAATTCTGACTCCCAATGGTAAACTTTGTAGCTTTGCAATTTTGAAGACTTGAATCAGTGAAAGTATTGAAACAATCTCTTACCCACATTTAGGAAAGATGTAAGCAGAGTAGAAACCTCTCTTGGTTAGCTTGACAAAATTAGTTACAACCAATTATACATCTTCCATATCTACTGGAGGCAGTATAGGTTTAAATACTAGCTCTGTTGAGTTTAAATTTGGTAGTGAATTATTCATACTTATATACCATGAATTGTGAGAATTCATTCCACTAGTTTGTTAGTGTTGAAGATAAAGCTATCTCCATTTTGAAAATATATATTTTTTTTTAAATTATGCGATGGTCTGGACTAGAGGTGCACAACCTTTTTGAATGAAGAGACCTTTGTACTATAAGTTGATTATACAGCTACATGTCCAAGTATTTAAACCTGTTGATTGCTTTTGTGGTACTAGTCAGCTTTATATTTGCTTAAAAAATTAAAATTCATTCAAAACTGATAAATGCCACATTTATTTTTTTAAATATTAGTTTTGATATTCATAAAATATTTTCTATATTAATTGTCAAAATTGCAAAAAAAAGTAGTTTTTGTGACATAATACAAGAGTTAATTTTAAGATAAAATCTAACGCTTAAGATTTTTATTGTTCATGGAGAAAAAAAAATGCTTTATTGAAATATAATTATAAATGAAATATTTTAATTTAAAAAAAATTGGGGATTAAAAGAATTTAAATTAAACAATTTTATTATAGCCCAAAATGAAATTCAACATTTTGTTGGAAAAATACTACAAATTCAGAACAATTATATTTAGTGAATTATCAGATGTTTTATTAATGTAAGATTATTAATGTATTAATGTTAATGTATTAATGTTTTATTAATGTAAGAACTGTTTATTGTAAAATACTGTAGTCTACAGAAAAAGTAAGGAGCAAAGTTACATGCAGGAAACCTTTAAAAATTCATGTATTCCCAAACTTACTGAATTTCGCTTTTCATAATAATATTGAGATTTTAAGTGGAACTGCTGTCGATAAAACTGACAAAAATCATTTAGATGTAGAATGAAAGGGACTGAAATACAGCGTATTAAAAAGCAACTTTTGAATTAGTAAGAAATTCATGTCTTGTTACATCTTATAAAAAAAAATATCTCATTTTTTCAAACCATGAAGAAATGTGTAACAATAACTGTCAAAAATATGATCGGAAAATTACCTTGAATAACACTGAAATCCGCACAGATGTAAAGTGATTGTTAAAATGAGGGATTCGAACGTCAGTCATAACATCGCGTTCAAAAGATTAGGAGTTTCTGTACCACCGGAAAATGCATTGCGGTCGCTGCCTAGGTTAAAAAAAAATGCTTCGGTTTATTTAACTTGGATCTATTTTAAACTCTGCTTTAATAAAATGTGTCAGTGATTATTTAAATGTGTATTTTAAAAACCGTAGGTTGTAATAATATATAAAAATATCAGTTTAAAAACTATTTAGAAATCTTTATAAAATAATTGCTGAAAAACTAATAGATTATAATGAAGTCAATGCAAATAAAGCGTTCTAAAATGTAATTACGGAAATTAAAAATTTGTGTTTTGTAATTGTATTAAAAATATTGAGATTTTTAAAATCTTGTTAAAATTTGTAGCAATAACCTCCAAAAAACCACTTGATTTATGATGGAATTGACGCAAGTGCTTTAGAAAGTCTTGACCCAAATGGGCGACTAAAAATATTATGATGATTTTTCTCACTATATTCAGGTTCTAGCTTAGGCTGCGCATCAGCTGCTAGTGTGCCACTTGTAGCCCACTAGTCTCTGCGTTTGCTCTCGTAGTCTATACAAATGCACTCTACTTCACAGTACTATTTTGCCACGGTAGAACATGTGTTTTGATTTCTCGAATATTTTACTTTTCATTTATGCAACTTTAAAGCAAATGAATGATTGCTTTATTTTTCAGATTGCTTCACAGGAGCTACAAAATAAAACCGAAGAATTGTCAGCAATGCAGAAAGAGATAAAAGATCTTGCTGAAATGCAATCATCCCTAGAGAAATCTTTAGCTTTGTTAGAGGCTGAGAAAACTGAGGTTTCTGAGAAACTTGCAGTAGAAGTTGAAAAAAATAAATCCATTTTAAGTGAAGGTGAAAATCTTCAGAGAAAGATTCTTAAACTAGAGGAAATCATTCTTCAAAAGACGAACAACATTCAGAAACTAGACGGGAATAATAAAAAATATGAGGTAACATTAATTCATTCATGTTTTTTTAAGCTTAACATTTTTTAGTTTTTTGGAATTTGTGTTTTCTGCTTTATTTTTAAAATATTAATTTTCTTTTTATATTTAGCTGCAAAGAAAGAAAAATCCTAACAATCTTGATTATTTTTGTTTTTACTATGTATTTATATAATGTACCTACCGATTTCAGAATATCATTCATTATACTTCTTTGAAATCTGTGAGGTTGTTCTATAATACATTTAGAGAAAAAAATTTGAAAAATACCATTTCTCTTTGGTGAGTTAACTTGCCACTTTATTTAATGAATTTACTTAAAAGCTATCTTTTTTTTAAATTATGCTAAATTGATTCATATTTACTGTTTATAATACATTTCGGTTTCTTACCTTCTCTTGTGCTCTTCATTTATATGATTGAACAAATAAGCCATATAAATAGATATATCTGATGCAATTAATGAGATAAATTCAGTAGGATTTGAGCTATTTATACTGAAATATCAAAAGTTATATTAATTGTAAAATTCTTGTTTAATTGAGACCTTTTATAAGAGAAAAATTTAAGGATAAAAGTGTTTCCTAGATTTTAAGTTGTAGTATACATCAAGTTATGATAAACCTCTTGTGTTGCTTGGTTTCTTTCTTCATTGCTTTTTAAATAAGCATATTTTAAAATAAGATAATTTTGTTAATAAAATCGAGGCTTTCACGAGTTAGGGATGGAATTATCAGCAAATTTTATTTTGTCTCTGAAAAACAGGGAAAATTGCAATTTTTTAAAAGAAAAACCCTGGAAAACTTCTACATTGTACCTGAAAAATAACCAGTCAGAATTTTCAGCAACAGTAATCAGTTATTGAGATTCAAGTTAAATAATTCTGACAACTGTAACAATTATCTATTGTAAATTTCACATTTTAATGAAACTTTCATGCTTCTATCCTCATTTAATGATATTTCTTTCACAAAATCTAATATTTGACATTAGAAGTAAAAGATCAATATTATCTGATGAAAAATTGCATGGAATAGATAAAATGTCTTTTTGATTTTCATAGAAATTTTCCTTATTATGCCTTGAAATGACATGAAATTTTTTTATTGAAATTGAGTGGGAACCTTATAAAATAAAATGGTTATAATTTTATGTAAGTACATTTTATTAAAATATTAATTGCAACAAAATGAGCAATTTTTCTAGATTTAGAAATAAATCAACTGCTCTTAAAAAATTATTTTATAAGGAAAACAAAATGTGTTACACAATACAGCTAAATAAATTAGACATTTTGCTCCTTAATGATATATTATACTTCATATCATGGCAGTTTAAATTGGAATTGGTCTTAATCTTTCTTGCTTCTATTGATATTTTTAATACATGTTTAACAATTAGCAATTTTAAAGCTATCAAATGATTTTTCTTCTTCCATTATACTTTTACATTTTTCTGTATACCTTTGTAATTTCAAGTTTATAAGTCTTAAAGTTTTCCTGCAACAAAACCAAAAGGAACAATAAGTTGAAAACCCAAAATAGCAGCACCTGTCACAAACCTAACACGAGGAAATCCTTAACAAAAAAATTTTTAAAAAAATTCGTTTTTGCAGTTTTGAGAGTTGTTACTAAAACTAAATGCAAAATTTATTATTTTCACAGGTAGAAATGGAAAATCTATCTGCTAAAAATTCAACTTTAGAAAAGAAAAATGAAGCATTATTTGAAAAGAATGAGCAACTTTCTTCTGATCTAGAAAGCCAGAAGAAAATAATTTCATCCCTTAATGAAGAAATACGAAATAAAGTGAATGAAATGAAAGACCTTGAAGAAAAATCCTCCACTGTCGATAAATATAAGGTATATAATCAATGATTCTATTTAAAATTGCTGTTATGAAAGTTTGAATATTGTTTGTTGGAAAGTTTTAAATTAATGATCTTTTTGATTCCACAGCATGAAGTTCAAAATCTTTCTGTGAAGTGTTCTACATTGGAGGAAGAGAAGAAAATGTTGTTAGAACAAAATGAAATGTTTTCAAATTCTCTAGAGGAACAGAGTAGCATAATTAGTTGCAAAGTGGATGAAATCAATGAATTAAAGGCTAAGAAATCTCTTGAGGAAAAATATGAAGTAGGGCTATTGTTGATAAAAATCAGTTGTTTTAATTATAGTTATTTTCTTCTATATTTTTAAGCAAATGTCTCTTATAAACTGTACATATTTTTAATAAAAAAATAGGTCTACTGATTTTTTCAAAATTTTTTTTTTTTTTGCAAGATTGAATGAGTTGTTACAGGTTACCTGTGATGTACTCTCAGAACTGTTTTTATATAAATTTGCTCATTTACCAAATTTTTAAACGGATTTCTATGTTTGCCATTTTCAAGGATATCCAAGATTTTTATTTAATCAGAAGTGTCATCTGTTACAATTTCTGTTATCATTACAATTTCGTTGTCAAGATTACGGTCTTAAATACAAAATGTGTAATAAAAATTTAATATTAAAAAATAGTAAAATTAATTTTAAACCTAATAATTTTACTTGGTTACCACTTACCTACATTCTATGGCCTAATTTTGAAATTCTTATTTACAAAAGTACATTCTTATTAAATAAAGTTTTAGCAAGAGTAGAAAAAGTTGTTTTCATGTCCACTTTCATTCTTAATATTGCTTTAGAATTTTATAAAGATATTTTGTATTCATTATTTCAATTGTCTGATTAATTAAAAGTTTTGCATTAAATTGCTTATAAAAGTAAATAAGTTTATTTGTAAAATTATAACTAGTAAATATTTTATCATTAAACTTTGCATAATAAGGTAATTTATAATGTAAGGACCAACGCTTAATTTTAAGCCTTTAATTTCTAGTAAAAATCTAATTAAAGCAAGTAATAAGATAATATTAAAATTAGGTCATTAAAAATATTAATTGTAAAAACTCTATAAATTTTAAGCCTTTAAAGTTCAGGGGTCTGTCCAGGCCGAATTTACTACCGTTTAGCGGTACCTTCACAAATTTAACTGTAGGAAAAACGGTAGTTTCACAAATTCAATTTTAGGAAAAACGGTNAGTAAATAAGTTTATTTGTAAAATTATAACTAGTAAATATTTTATCATTAAACTTTGCATAATAAGGTAATTTATAAAGTAAGGACCAACGCTTAATTTTAAGCCTTTAATTTCAAGTAAAAATCTAACTAAAGCAAGTAATAAGATAATATTAAAATTAGGTCATAAAAAATATTAATTGTGAAAACTCTATAAATTTTATGCCTTTAAAGTTCAAAAATGCAATAATTAAATAAAATTATATTTTGAATGAATGATAAATAGTTATTAAAGATAAATACCATTATAACTTTTAGAAATTTTTTGTAGGTGACAGACAAAGATAGCTAAATATTTTTTGTAAATTAAATATCATAGTTTTGATAATTCACTTAATTTCACTAAGATATTTTTCTAAATATTTCTACTTAATATCAAATCTGTTTAATAAAATATATTTTAATTTTTATTCATTGATAGCTTGATAATAAAAAACTTCAAGTTGAATTGTCCACCTTATCAGAAAGTATTGAAACCCTAAAGCTTCAAATTGAGAAGCAAACTTTAAAGGAAACTAGTTTGGGAGAACAACTGTCTCAAGTAATGAGTGAGAAGGAAGCCTTGGTCTTACAGTTACAACAGTTAAAAGAATCAAATATGTCTCTGAGCAATGAATTATCTTTTACAACTTTAAAGATTAATGATTTGAATGAAGGAAAGGAATCCTTGATTAATCAATATGAGGTATAGAAATTCTTTCATTAATTTATGTTCTATACAGAATTTATACCAAGTGCATCCAACATCCTATTAAAATGGTGATTCAAAAACTGAGATGCTTTTCACCCACTTTTTAGATGAAATGAAAAACTCGAACTACCACAATTTGTTACATGTAAATAAGCAGTGTTTTCATTACAGAAGAAAAACGGGAGAAAATTTCTCACCCTCTCTCAAAAACAGGGCGAGATTTCAAAAAGTTAAAAAAACACGAATGGACCTGGAAAAACATATCTTTAATTATAATACATTTTTAACATCTTCTAATTTCTGAACCATTGAATATTTTTGCAGCATCATCGCATGAAAAATGTTCTATATCTACTTTTTCATCAGTATTCTCATTAGGTCTCTCAAATGCTCATCAGTCAGTCTGTTACGATATTTTGTTTTAATTCGCTTTTGGGTGCTAAATATACTTGCAACAGATCCTGAACTATTCGGAATCGCAAATTAAATTTGTAGCATTGAGCACGCACTTTCCTATCCTTTACATCTGCCAGCATAGGCTTTTCAATTATTTCTGTTCTGGAATAGTTAAGTTTGTTGAAGTTATTTCCATGTTTATGCTTCTTGTTAGGTCTTCCAGCTTAGTTTTCCCAGACTTCAACTTTTACAAATTGCTGTAAATAGTCAATGAGGAAGTTTGGTAATTCATTAACAGCTAAAAATAGAGCTAACTTTAAACAACTTATTATAAAGGGGTTAATTTTTTTCTCAACGCTTGTTGTAGCTGTTTTCATTTTTTTTTTTTTTTTCCAAAATGGCGGAAGACTAAATTTTTTCCAAAATTCGAGAGATTTGTGCCTTTTAAAATTTATTAATAGAGTGCACGAACTTCTCGCGTTAATCATTTTTTAATGCGAGAAAGGAAAATAATATGCGAGATTCTCGTGCTGTAGTGAAAACACTGATATAAGTTATAATATTTAGTTCTTAAAATGGTAATGTTATTTTTAAATCAAAGTGAAATCTAAATATTAAATATTTTGTTTACCTTATATTGAATTAAAACTTGTATTTGTTTAAAGTAAATGGCTACCACATTTATATTTTTCATGGGACTCTTCCAACGAGTGTGAGTGTCCCAGAAATTACCGACAATTTAAAAGACCCATTAAAGAGAGGCAAAAGGAGATAGAAATGCATGGTTTGCTTCATTCTGCTTCAGAAACAATTTAATTTATTCCCCTCAAAATCAGTTACGCTATTGGTTAATAGATGATGCTAACCGGAAAAAAAATTCTGTAATACTATATTTTCTGTTATGTCTGACCATTCCAACTAGGCTATTTGAACTAGTTTTCTTTTTTTTTAGTTTTGCCCTCTGACAGCATGATGTTGCAACAAAGGGAGAGCTATTTTGAATTTTGCTTTGTTAGCAGTACTGTTTATGAAACTTAGTACAAATGAATTATCCAGTTTGTTTCCTATTTTCAAATTTTTAGTCCTTTTGATAATAACTTCCCATACGTATGCAGTGTAATCATTTATTTTTCTCAAATGATATGTTAAATGTTTTAAAAACAATCTCATTAGACTTGCTTATTTTCATAAACCTATATAATTTTTTTTTCCTTTTTAGACACGAATTCAAACCCTAGAGGCTGAATATGATAATGCCCAAAAAGAAATTAACAGTTTAAATTTTCAATTAAAAGAACTTGGTGATTCTGAATTATTACTGAAAGGTAGCATTGCTTCTCTTCAGCAAGAAAATTTATTGCTGTCTGAGACCCTGAACCAGAATGCTGGTGAAATTCAAAGCTTAATGTCTTTAAAAGAAGAAATTTCTAAGCAGTCTTCTGAAATTTGTCATCTAAAAGAGATTCTTATTGATGCTGAGAAAGATTACAAGGTAGTCTTATCAAAACATAAAAATTTATATTTTTAAGCAAAAAAAATATTGTCACAAGTACAAAATGTAAAATTGCTAAAGCCTAAGATCTAGCGAATTTAAATTGTCTTGTATTTGTACCCAACTTGTGCTAAAAGCTTAGGTTAAAAGTTTAATGTGCTCAAATTGAATGATCTTTTCAAAATAAAATATAACAAATTGTTTTTAAACTTGAATTATTTTGTTCACTAACTGGAAGAAATAAATTTTTTATCTCTCTCTTTTTTTTTTTTTATAAGGGAAAAAACTATCTAACTATAGTTTCATTTAAGATCTGTATCTTAAAATTTACATTAATTAACTACATTTAAATTAAAAGCCTATTAATTATTTTGAAATTAGCAATTTTTGTTTTTCAGTAATTTATAAGATAAATTTGGTATGAATGAATAGAAGTAAACAAACATTATTAAACCAGGGTACCTGCATTTAAAATCTTATTACTATGTAGTATGTATTTAAAAATTTCTTATACACAATTGGTGTTTTAATTACAAATCAATGAAATAGTACAAATTGTTTTGCAAGTTCGTTGAGTGTTTTATTACTAAGGAATAACCCAGTAAACTACCTAAACAAATTAGTATAATAATCCCACTGGAACTTGATGGGACAGTATTGAGAGATAGTGACATCTCTAAAAATTACTGAAGCTTAAAATAAAATAGGTCTTGGAGGTTAGTTTGTAAGAAAAGAAAAGTATACTTCTGCTACAGCCAAGAGTGTCAGTGTTGCTATCCAGATAGGCTGATACCTATCAATCTGATGCTGGGTGATCTTTGCACTGCATTAACCTCTCTGCCATAGTTGCTTGGTTTGTATTTATACTTTTTTACTGTTTTCATTCGCAACATAAGTTTGGCCCAACCTTATGATTTTAAACAGTTCAAATTTGTTCAAATTAATTTTAAAGTCTTTTCAAAAGATAATAAGATTAGTTACATTTAAAAAAAGATTTTTTTTTAGTGTAATGATTAAGAATTTTTTTTGTGTTTTAATTTAATATGTTTCTAATTTTAATAATTTAGTTCTTAGATTTTGTTGGTTAGTGCAAAGTTAATTGAAATACTGAATAATCCAACTTTTATTCCAAATGTTATTCAAAATTCACTGGTATAACTCATTTTAATTCTGTTATCTCTTTAGGCTAGTTTGGAAAATGCATTATCTGAAAAAATGTCTTTATCCTGCCAACTTGAAGAATCCTCTTTAATCATAAAAGAAAGTTTGGAGAAAAAAGGTTTCCTAGAGGAAGAGAAACTAACTTTGACTGATTTGTTAAAGAAAGAAGGCCAAAAGTGTGAAATGTTAGAAATAGAGGTAGCACAACTGAAACAGTCCATTTTCTGGATTGGAGAAGACTTGGCACAAATCAATATCAGTGCAGTTCAGGCTGAACTTCAATATCAAGTAATAGCTTTATTTCTTTCCTAGTGTATTTCAAAATTTAATTTTCTTTTTAATTATTGATTATCAAAAGAATTGTATTTCCTCAAAATTGTTTTTATTTTCAGAAGCACATAACATAAAATTAAATTAATATGTTCAAAAATTCCCTTTCTGCTAAAGTAACATCTCATTTCCTGATGCGTTTAATTTTTACTATGAAAAGTAAATTAATAATTTTTATTAATGACTTTGCAGTTTCCAAAAAATATTTACATTTATTTAGCATTTTCTTTAAATATGCTCTTCCTAGCTTTTTAAAATGTGGAGTATGTATTGAATAATGTTGTGACAAGAACTTTGAAAAGTGGTATTCATTTTCTGTTCTTCTCTGTCTCTGTTTCTAAATTTCAAATGTGTCTGTAATACTCCTGTGTCTAGTGGTAGTGCAAAAAGCTTAGGCTATCCTGACTTTTTTCATACCAGTTGAACACCAGCAGAATTAAATTTCTGTATTTAATATTTTTTTGTGTTTGTAACTAAACATAGATTTGTCAAGATCTTGTTTTTTAGAATTTATGTAAAATTTACTTACGATTATTTTAGGTTCAGAAAATTACAAGGTCTTTCTTTTAGTCAAGACTTTATTTTTGTAAATATGTAAAAATAAAATCTTGTTATTTTTTAAAGTCACAAAATTTTTTTAAACCCTTTGTCTTTAGGAAGTTATAATTTTTAAATTGTAAATTTATGAATGTACAATATCAGGGTTCTCACGGTACTTGAAAAACCGTGGAGTCCTTGAATTCTACGATAGGGTCCGTGAAAAGTTTTTGATTTTTTAAGAGTAATTTTTTAAATAGTTATAATTTTTCCTACTTAAAAGCGCAAAAAAAATTTCAAGCAAAATCATAGAGATTTTAATCGCTTCCTTTCCTTTTACTATTTTCTTTACTGTAAGAATAGTTCAAGGTCAGCAAAGTAGTCTTGGAATCTGATCCAAATTTAGAAAAAGACCCTGAGCCTTATTTACCTCTCTTGTGATTGGTTTACAAATTACAGACAGGGTGTAGGGAAACTAATAGCGAAAAGAAAATATTGAATGAAACCATATCTCGTATTAGCCTTGTTCTAACCATGTGTAGCATGCACTAATTATGGAACTTGCGGTTTTTTAAACTTTTTATTTTATTTGCTAACGTATGAAAATTAAAGCTTTATTCAAACTCGAAAAGAAGGAAAAGAGCATGCAAAAATTAAGATATTTTTTATTTTCCAATACTGAAAATCAGGTAATTTCTGATACATGCAATTTATAATGCTATCAAATATGAAATTTGATATTAATTTCTTAAAAATCATTGAAAAGTCCTTGATTTTTTTTTTTTTTTTTTTTTTTTTTTTTTTTTTTTTTTTTTTTTTTTTTTTTTNCTTTTTTTTTTTTTTTGTTTATTTATTTATTTTTTTTTGAAAATTGCGTGGGAACTCTGAATATCTAGCAATGAAAATTATGACATAAAACAAAAAATAAACATATTCAATACTTCCAAAAATAAATAACAATTGTTTCTATGCTAATTTAAAAGCATCAGTCAGTTAGAGAGCAGGGCTGCCAAATAAGTTTTCTGAGAAATATTTTTTTAGAGTTGTCAGGCATGAAAGTTTTCAGCTTTGAGAATTTTGGTTATTTTTGCCAACATTATAAAGGCCTCACGCACTAAAAACTGGAAGAATGTGCTTTTTGTATGAACTTTTGAATTATTCTTAATAACTTTAAATCAAATTTACTAATCAAAGGATCATTAATTAAAACAAAACTTTCTACGAGTCATAAAAATTTCCCTCAGTGCTTAGACAGCTGTCAGTCCTAAAAGACAGATCTTTAATAATTTCATTTAACATGATTTACAGTTCATTCTTTGTTCCTTTTACAAGCAGGTTATCCGCACACCTGGAAAGTCATGAAAAATCATGGAATGTCATGAATTTCGGTACTGAGCAAAATTTGTCATGAAATATCACGATTTTAACTATTTATTTAAGAAAATCATGGAAAGTCATGGATTTAGGTCGCTGAAAAATCTAATTTTTAAAATGGAATTTAAAAATTACCCCACCCCCCATTTCATGTTGTTCCAAATGTCTGAATTTGTAATAAAATCCCCACTCACAGTCATATTTTATTAAAATATAAAATGTTTTTATCATGTTCTTTAAAAGTTATGGTGTTCTTTCAAAAAATGAAAGAAAAAGCATCATTTCTGGAGCAAATTGTCTTTTAAACTTCTGTTATTTCAGAATTTTTGTTATTATTTTTATTTTATCAATTTAAAATTCTAGCTAAAGCAAGCCAGTCGTTGGCGAATTTTTTTTATTCCGAAATGAGGACATAAAAATCGGGAGTATTTCTTTCCTTTCGGATGAACAAGAATCTTTGGAATATAATTCTGCAGAAAAAAAAATTATATGCTTTTGTGTTTTTTTCAGCTCTTTTATTGCTTCAGCTCTTTCTTTACTCTGTTTCTTTAAATTTAAAATCTTTAAATATGAAGATACAGAGTATAACAGTTTTGGTTATACCTATCATTTCAATTTACATTATTATAATGCTTTTTTAAATTTCTTGTGTTTTTGTTAGAGAAAATAGTAACTGCGTTAAGTCATGAAAAATTCTAGGAATTAGTCATGGAAAGTCATGAATTTGAAAATCTAAAATGTAGCAGGTACCCTGTACAAGTAGAGCAACAAATCCTGTAATCGAGTTCCGTTTTTAAAATGAATTTTGTGCAAAATATATTTTTAAAACCAAAAATATTATAAAGTGCTCATTTTTACATTAAAATAAGTTTTGATGTGTCATTTGCTCAACCCTAATTTATTCTAAACAGATCCCTGACTAACATGGCTTTCCTTTTCTAGGATAAAATCAGAGGATTGGAAAGTTCTTTGCTTGAAACTCAAAATGATTTATCAATTCTGAGAACTGAATTGGAAAACAGTCAATTAAAAGAACTTCATTTGTCAAAGCTGCTTGATGAAGAAAGCAATAAAATTGAAAAATATTTGAAACTTGAAGAAAAATCAGAAGAATTGAAAAATAAAATCTCTTTGCATGAATCGAATCTGGCTGCAAAATCACAATCTCTTCATGAAGCTAATGAAAAGATTTCATTGATCACTTCTGAATATGAGGTAATCAAGGTTATATTTTTCAATATATTTACTAATTTGTTTCCTTTTGTTTGAACTTAAAATTCAGCAGTAGTAGTTCACAGAATTTTTATTATGTATTAACTGCATTTTAACTTCTCTGCCATAGTTGCTCGGTTTGTATTCATACTTATTTACTATTTTCTTACGCAGCATAAATGTGAACAAACCTTAGGATTTTAAACAGTTCTAATTTGTGAAAGTAATAAAGTCTTTTCAAAACATAACAAGCTTAGTAGCATTTCAAAAAAAAGAAAACAGGGAGAGATTTTTTTTTNCATTTTGGCTAATCTCATCCCTGGTTTTAACTAATTTGTTTCTAGTTTTAATAATTTAGTTCTTAGATTTTGTTAACTAGTGCAAAGTTAATTAAAATATTGACTAATCCAACTTTTATTTTAAATAGTATTAAAAAGTCACTCAAAATACTCATTTTATTTCTGTTAACTCTTTAGGCTAGTTTGGAAAATGCATTATCTGAAAAAATGTCTTTATCCTGTCAACTTGAAGAATCCTCTTTAATCATAAAAGAAAGTTTGGAGAAAGTAGGTATTCTAGAGGAAGAGAAACTAACTTTGACTGATTTGTTAAAGAAAGAGGGCCAAAAGTGTGAAATGTTAGAAATGGAGGTAGCACAACTAAAACAATCTATTTTCTGGATTGGAGAAGACTTGGCACAAATCAATATCAGTGCAGTTCAGGCCGAGCTTCAGTATCAAGTAATAGCTTTATTTTTTTTCCCTACAGTATTTCAAAATTTTATTTTATTTTCATTAATTGAGCACCAAAAGAATTCTATTTTCTCAAAATTGTTCTTATTTTCAAAAGCACATAACATAAAATTAAATTAGTGTGTTCAAAAATTCCCTTCCTGCTTATGTAACATCTTATTTCCTGATGTGTTTAAATTTTAGTATAAAAAGTAAATTAATGATTTTTACTAACCACTTTGCAGTTTCCAAAAATATTTAAATTTATTTAGTATTTTCTTTAAATATGCTCTTCCTAGCTTTTTAAAATGTGGAGTATCTATTGAATAATGTTGTGACAAGAACTTTGAAGAGTGATATTCATCTTGTCTCTGTTTCTAAGTTTCAAAAACGTCTGTAATGCTCCTGTGTCTAGTGGTAGTGCAAAAAGCTTACGCTATCCTGACTTTTTTCATATCAGTTGAACATACGCAGAATTAAATTTCTGTATTTAATATTTTTTTTGTTTGTAACTAAACACGCGTTTGCCAAGATCTTTTTTGTAAGATCTTGTTTTTTAGCATTTATGTAAAATTTACTTGTAATTTTGTGATCTAAAATAATCGTAAGATCTGTGTTTTAGTCAAGGCTTTATTTTTGTAAATATGTAAAAATAAAATAAACTCTGAACATCTGACACTAAAAATTATAAACTTAAAACACGAAAAAAACATGATCATTACTTCCAAAAATAAATAACAATTGTTTCTATGCTAATTTAGAAGCATCAGCAAGGCTACCAGCTAAGTTTTTTGAGAAATATTTTTTTTAGAGTTGTAGACGATCAAAAATTTAAGCTTTGAATATTTTGGTTGTTTTTGTCAACATTTTAAGAGCCTCACTCACTAAAAACTGGAAGAATGTGGCTTTATGAACTTTTGAATTATTCATAATAACTTTAATTCAAATTTACTAATCAAAAGATCATTAATTAAAATGCAAAATTTTCTACAAGTGAAAATTTCCCACAGTCCATAGACTGCTGTCAGCCCTAAAAGACAGCTCTTTAAGAATTTCATTTAACATAATTTACACGTTCTTTGCTCCTATTACATGTAGAGCAACAAATCCTATTATCGACTTACGTTTTAAAAATGAATTTTCTGCAAAATATATTTTTAAAACCAAAAATATTATCAAGTGCTCATTTATTTACATTAAAATAACTTTTGATGAGTCTGTTGCTCAACCCTAATTTATTCTAAACAGATCCCTGACTAACATGGATTTCCTTTTTAGGATAAAATCAGAGGATTGGAAACTTCTTTGCTTGAAACTCAAAATGACTTAACAGTTCTGAGAACTGAATTGGAAAATAGTCAATTAAAAGAACTTCATTTGTCAAAGCTGCTTGATGAAGAAAGCAATAAAAGTGAAAAATGTTTGAAACTTGAGGAAAAATCAGAAGAATTGAAAAATAAAATCTCTTTGCAGGAATCGAATCTGGTTGCAAAATCACAATCTCTTCATGAAGCTAATGAAAAGATTTCACTGATCACTTCTGAATATGAGGTAATCATATTTATATTTTTTCAATACATTTACAAATTTGTTTCTTTTTGTTTGAACTAAAAATTCAACAGTAGTAGTTGAAAATTTTTTTATTATGTCACATTATAATAAATGTTTAGATAGATGAACAGAAACAGTTTTTGTTTCATTGTCCATTCACTCTACTGATTCTCATGTCATAGCTGTCAACTTTACTGAATAGTCTGTTTTTCCTATTTTCCCAAATTCATCAAAACTTTTACTAGTTTTTGTTTTTCCTATTGATTGTTTACTAACTACTCAATCTCATGTTATAGCACATGTTGCGTAGCATTTTTAAAAAGTGCTTAAAGGTGCTTATTTTCCATTTTGGTTTCTTAAAAGCCCTTAAAAGAGCTTTTTCCACTGGGTGTGTTTAAAAAGTGTCTAAATTTTCCCTTTCCAAAAATGAGGTTTTTTTCCCTTTTTCATGTCAATTTTCGCCACATATTATGGAAAAGTGTACTTTTCACATTGTTTTATTCAACATTTTCACAATTCATTCAACCACTATCTATTTCAGCTTACCATCAGTCCATAGCGTATGAAAGCGCCAATCATTTTACATGTTTGATAAAATACTTGCGAGTCCGTATGTGTGTCTACTGAGCTGGATTCGGTTAGATTCTTGCACTCTCATGTGAAACTCTACTGCATTTTCCAAGATATTATCAATTTCTGTCTTCATTTTCCACCCTCTGGTATCGAACCAAAAAAAATCTTGATAATTTTATAATGGCTAATATAATCAAGAAAATTTTTTTGTCAGAACCTAGTTATTTTATTGTGATAATGTAAATTCTTTGAAAATTAATTTGCATTTTGTTAATGTATATAGTGCTTAGAAATAATTTTTGAGTTCTTAAAAAGTGCTTATTTTTTGTTGAAAGATTTGGCTACGCACCCTGTAGCAATCAACTTCGCTGAATTGCCTCTGTTTCTTCTGCTCTACCAATTTAATCAAAAATTCTGCTACTTGTTGTATATTTTAACAAATCTCCTGAAATTAAAATTTTTTATTAAAATTCAATGTCCAAGTTCTATTGAAATAAATTTTTTACTTTGCTTTACTCTATTGGGAATTTACTAATTTAGAAGTTTAAAACTTTTCTTGAATTTCATTATTTTTTTATTCAAAACTTTCCATTTTATAGTAATGAAATTTTTAAAAAATGTTGTTGACATGAAATTTTTTTTATTAATTGTTTCTTTTTACAATCTAATGCTTGCTTTGCAAACTATTCAATAGAACCCAATTATCTGACTTAAACCGAAATTTGTATTTTTCGCAATCTTGCTGTAAAATCTTACTCTCCCCCCTTCTAATTATCCAATTTTTTGTCTATTTGTAAACCTAATATTGTTTTAGTTTGCTCTGTCTGATAGATATATTTTATGGTTTAGGAAAAGATTGAGGCTTGTAAAAATAAACTCTCCTTGACTTTAGAGGAATACCAAGTTATGAAGAGTCTTTTAGAAGAATCATTGCTGAATGAAGATGCATTAAAAGAAAAAATAATAATTTTCCAGAATGAGAAAGCAGATCTTGAGAATAAGATTCTAGCTGAAGTTGAAAAAAATATTTCTCTTGAAGCAGAAGAAAAGAAAAACGCAGAAAAAATAGCTGAACTTGAAAACAAATTATATATTATTTCAATTGATTTAGAAAAAGAGAGAAAAGCACTACTTGAAAAAGAGGTAATGAATTTTTGAACTATTACTTTTATAATTACAAATCTATGTTTCTTTTTTTATCATGCTTTGATAGAACATTTAATTTATGTCAAGGTATTTTATTTAATTTTTTTTTCAACGAACATTCAAAATCCTAAATTATTAGCTAAGTACTTAAACACCTGCATGGTTCATTTTTCTATTTTTCTTGCATTTTTATTCACCACAGTGGGTGAATAGTTGTACTTTTTGTATTGTGAATTCTTACTTTATTTAGTCTATACATTGCTACAAAATGCAACACTTTGGCTGCTGATCCTAACAAAATGCTACACTTTTGCTGCTCACAACGTCACCAAGCCAAATGGATAAAATTTCTTGTTATACAAGTCTTAAAAGTTTTCATTGCATAAACCTCAATTATATATTCAAAAACTGAAAAAATATTTTTAAAATATCAAAATGAAAAGAATTATTTCAGGATTTTGTCCCATTAGTTTAATACTGAGTAATCCGGCCATAATTTGTTTTGAACAGTGTAAATTGATTATTTTGAAGAAAAAAATCAGCATATGAAATTTTATGGTTTACTCTAGATCTACTTGAACTAACTATTTCTGTCTTTTAAATTTCTTATGATGATATAGAATTTGCCATTAAGGGTTTTTCTAGCGGTATAAAGCATTTGAAGACTTTATACTTTTATTTATAGCAATAATAAATTAAAATTTTTTAATTGTTTAGGATAATTTTTTTAAAGAACAGTATTTTTGTAGCTTGAAATTTCTGAACTTGAAAGCAAGTTGGAGTCAACACAGTCAGAGCTTCAACAGTCTTTTGATCAGCTGCAAGAAACTATTTGCAATGAAAAAACTCTGAAAGAAAAGTTGTGTTTGGTTGAAAATGAACACTCTGAACTTGCTAAAAGCCTGGAGGCTCAATCCGATAAAATTAAAATGTTAGAAACTACCCTTTTAGAAATAAAAGAAAAGATGATGTTGCTTGATAATGACCTAATGGTTAAATCTTTGGAACTAGAAAAATGTCAAAAGCAGTTGACTACATCAGTTTGCAATGAGGTATTGAATAATTTAAAATTGTACTGCGTTTATATTTAAAAATATTTTTCTTATATATTTAAATATGTAGGTTATTTTATGTAAGTGAAAAAATTTTTGTGTTTTTTATAATTTATGTTTATATTCATGCAATATGAAATTTAGAGATATGATGAATAGTGATTTGACCGTATACTGAATATTTGGCAGTCAAAGAGGAAAAAAAAATTGAAAAAAATCATTTACAAATGTTATTTTTTATATGGAAATAAGTTCAGTCATTATTGAAAAATAATCAATCAAAACTTGGCTGTATTATTGGTATGGGGTAAAGAGAAAAAATTTTTAGGCTAATAAAGATAGTTAGAAATATTTAATATAAAAAATCTGACTAATAGCTATTTAAAAAAATTGAAGTTATAAGTTTGAAATAGAAAAAGGTGTACTCCTAATTCTTAAAACAAAGCTTTGATGCTAAAAATAATAATTAAATAAAAATAATCATGCATAAAAGACATAACGTTAATTCTGAAATGCTTTTATAAATGCAGCTCTATCATAAAAACGCCTATAAAAAACAAGGATTGTATACAAAGTAAAAACAGAAAAAATATAAATTGATCTAAAGCTTTGAAGGAATATTTTGAAATGAAATATTTCAGTATTTCAATTACTGTATTTTCTCAAGAAAAAGGTGAAGATTACACTGTAATAAAAATCCTCTTAATTGACGTGTTGTGTTAAAAACTTCTGTAAAGCATAAGCTTTTTAATTAGGAAAAAAGCTAGATAGAAACCAAAGCAAAAATAATTCTTAGTTTTTAAATAAAAGATTTAATGACAAAAATCTTAATTTAACTTTTTCCCAATGCTGTATTTTTAGAAAAAAAGTGACCATAAAAGAATAACGTTCATTAGAAATGCTCATTGAAAAATGCTGTCGTAATAAAAACGCTACTAAAAAGTAAAGTTAATTTTAGAAAACCAAAAGCAAAGCAGAAAAAAAATCTTAGTTCTGAAATATAACTTTAACTAGGAGGCTTCGCCCCCTGCTCGCTGGCCCTCACCAACCCCCGGAACTGCTTTCACAGTTCATTTCGGATTGCTTCGCAATCCAATGCTCGCTTTGCTCGCTCATTGGATACGTTCTTATCGTCTAGTTTTTGTATACTTTTTTGAATGCTGAAGCTCCGAAAACTTTTCACTGTGGAAAATTCTAAACCTGTGCATTTCAATATTAATTTGAAATTGAAAACAGTTCACATATTTTTCTTAATCACACTATTCTAAATTTCAGTTGTTGAGAAAAGTAACTGTTGTAAGTTTTGTTTTAAAGTCTTTCCCAACAGAGGGCTAAAGCCATGTGTTGTAAAACAATATGAAATAGTAGTCTGCCACTGAACGCCGGATGTAAAGCATCGGCTTTGATGAAGATAATTTTGTATTTTTAATTCTCTGAAGAGCGCCACTCTAATAATATGGAATTTGTAAAATAAATGTATATATTTTTGATTGTTGATGAAGCCCATCATTTTGTGTTTTCATCAGTGTTCANAAGCTAGATAGAAACCAAAGCAAAAATAATTCTTAGTTTTTAAATAAAAGATTTAATGACAAAAATCTTAATTTAACTTTTTCCCAATGCTGTATTTTTAGAAAAAAAGTGACCATAAAAGAATAACGTTCATTAGAAATGCTCTTTGAAAAATGCTGTCGTAATAAAAACGCTACTAAAAAGTAAAGTTAATTTTAAAAAACCAAAAGCAAAGCAGAAAAAAAAATCTTAGTTCTGAATGATAACTTTAATGTTGAGAATCACTATATTCTATGTTACTAGTTATCTATCTTACCATGTGAGAAAGAGTGACAATAAAAGAATAAAATCTATTAGAAATGTTCCATTAACATGCTTTGCTTTAGTTAAAACTGGAAAGCAAACACAAACAACAACTTATGTTAAGTGTTGAAAAAAACTATGAAATTGACTTGCCTGAATAAAATAAAAAATCAGCATTGCAAATCTCCTGGTTCAGTATTAAATAGTCTAGTTTCAATTATTCAAGTTTCGCTTTTCATATATCTTTCAGAACATAAATGAACAAGCTTTAGAACTTAACAAACATGTGTAAAAACTATTTCTAATAATGTATAGTAAAAAATATGAATTTAAATCATTCTTTATAAAATCTATTAATATTTCCCTCAAAAAAAACCTTTGTTGGAAACTAATGTTCCAAACAATATTTTGCCGAATATTCGGCAAAAGGGCCGAATGGTAGCCAAATATACAAATTTAATTTCTTAAATCTTGGCTGTTGTCCTTATTCTTGGAAATTGGCCTTTTTAGGTAACAATAAGTCTAGCTACTTTCAGGTATGCCAGTTGTCTTTTCGCTATTTCTTTCTTTAACAGTTGCTACATAGTTTGTTTAGCTTACCTAGTCGATCTTGTTTGTTACTGATTGATACTCTAAAATAACATTTAATAAAAAAACATTTTTATAAAAAAAGGCTAAAAAGAATAAAACCTGCTCAAACATTTTTTACAAAACTGGTTTCAGGCCGACTTAAATAAGGGGAAATACGTTTTGCAAACAAAGTTTCAATTAAAAAAAGCTTTATGCAAGCAATTTTTGGACTCTTTGTTATTACCTAATAACCCTATCATTATCACCTAATTTTGACAAAATTTATTTGAAATTCACAATTTTTTTTTTAAATATAAGTTTTTTAAAACTCTATATTGATCATTATGCATGCCAATATATCTCTTTAAATGTGTAACAGTTTTTTGAATATATACAAGTAGTTATTGACTTACCTTGTGTTACTTTATGCTTGGCTTTTTATATCAAAAGTCTAAGTCATTCAGAAAGATTTCATTGCTAATATTTGATAAATATTTCTATAAAAAATTATTCACTTCTACACTTAAATACTTTTACTATGTATAATGGTATAAAAATATTGATTGTTGGATAAAATAGGAAAGAATATAGACTGAAAAAGAATTTTTCTTTATTTTATTAAGTGATAATAAAAAGTTTTCCTTAATTGGATGAAAAATTTTCTGTAAACGGTGTTCCCAAATTTGTGCATATTATGCATATCTGGGTTCAGTTCATTTATTTCTACAATAAAAAATTAGAATTGATAATTTTTTAAAATCTCGTATTGATTAATTTTTTTATAATCTCGTATTGATTAATTTTCAATTCTGCGGAGAGAGAGAAAAAAATTCTAATTACAATTTTAGGTTTAAAAAATTGAGTTCCAAGCAACTAAAAAGTATACAACTGTCATTCCTAAAATACTAAGTTGCTACTCCAATAAAATTTACTCGTAAAACCTAATTATTACACTTACAAGTGAATGTTCTTAAAGTGTTTAAGTAAATTTTTGCTCTGATTAGTTCATTACTTCACTACCATTTAAAAAAAAAATTATTTGCAGGAAAATGAAGTAAGTTAAGTAAAGTAATGGTTATTTTACTTAAATATTGTTTTTCCCCCTTTGATATATTTAGACTTTAAGGAAAACTCCTAGACCTAAAATCTGAGGCTGTTTGCTGAATTGTTTTTTACAAAATGTAAATTTCATTTTTTTTTCTCTGTTAATCATACTTATTATTATTTGTACTAAACATACTATTTCCTTCAATTATAATATACACTCTTGGACAAAAAAAATTTGAGCACAAAGAAGGAGTCGTCATAATGAAACGAAGTTTTACTTATGTAATGGCTACTTTGATGTAAGTAAATGATTAGAAAATCAAAGATTATCGTTTTTCTTTGATTTTCTAATCATTTACTTAATTATTCAAAGTAGTCATTACGTATGTAAAATTTCGTTTCATTTTGACGACTCCTTCTTGGTGCACTGACTGTTTTGTGCATGAGTGTATTTTATTCCCCTTTCCTTGTAAAATGAGATTAAAATGTATGTTAATGTTTTCTGAACTTATTTAGGATTTAATTTTGGAAATGACAGACAAGTTGAAAGATTCTAGAGTACTTTATGAAACAATTCAAAATCGATTAAGTGAATCTTTGTCAAATGAAGCGTTTTACAAAACTGAGTTTGCATTGCTTGGTGATGAAAAAAATAAATTAACTTCTGCATTGGAGGATCAATTGGAAAAAGTCAGTGTTCTTGAGAAACACATTAAAGAATTAAAAGAGGATTTAACTGCAAAATCTTCAGAATTAGAGAACTATAAAGAACAACTTCTTTCGTCTCACTGGGAGGTAAAAACATTTTGTTAATTTATAAAGTCCTTTGTTTATTTTGTTTTTCAGTTGATACACCCATTGAATAACATTAAACAATAAATGTTTATTTATCTATCTGAATATCCGTTCTTCATAAGGAATGAAAAAGTAAATAACTAATTAATCGGTATTGATCAATCCAACGAATTCCTCTTCAAAACAGAACATATATGGACATAATTAATAAAGTTTGTTAAATTACATTTTTTATTTATTGTAATTCGTCATCCTTCCTGGTTGTTTTGTGTAACAAGCTTAAGCAAAACACTTTTTAGTAGTTCATTCCATCAAAAGAAATTTTCTGTGTTATGCTGTTGTTTAAGACCAACTCCAGATACCTAAAACAGCACCTATTACCATATTACAAGTTGGACATATTACCAAACTTGAGTATCATTTGCATCAATAATAGTATTGATCAATAATATTTTAAGTTCTCCTAAATAAATAAGTGCTTAATTATACTGAGTGACAATAGAACTGAAAATCAGAGAAATGTCAGGTAATCTAATTGACTAAAAAATCAGGGAGTATGAATCAATGAGTTACATTAAAGTTAAGATTTTTTTTCTAGATAGATAATGTACTTTTTTTTTACGTACTGCAGTTGTAATAACAAGTATAAATATTTTGTAATATATTTTATGTTTAAGAGCAATATATTTTATGAAAAATTAATGAGAAATTTTTTCACCTATTACAAAAATTAGGGAAATTCAATTAAATTATTCTGGAAAAGTAAAGAAATTTTGTCATTAGTTGAAATATTTTAAATCTCTAAGTATTTGAGGTCACCCTGTTATATTGTAAGAATAATACTTTTTTATTTCAGTTATTGTTTATTTTACTTAGTTTTATAGAAATGCATTTTCAAAGTCAAACTATAAACAAAATAAATGCATTTCAGTTAACTTTAGAAATACTAATTCAGTGATGTAGCCCACAAGCCATCCACATTGATCATAGAGCTTATCCGATATAATGAATAAAAGATAATTAAACATTGAGGAACTATGAGAAAAAGTAATTATTGCATTATTTGTTTTGAGCTATTTATTTAGTTATTTGCTAAGAGCTTGAAACTCAGAAGCAAAGTTATCCGAAAATGATTAATTTGTGACTAGTTCCTATGCAGCAAAAAAATTTAAAAAATTTCTGTAAATAATAAATACAAAAGTGTATTTTTAAGTATTTGTATCTAAAAATTATTTTAAAGCATTGTAAGATTGTTTTGTTCCAGACTAATATTGCCATATTTAGTAGGTAATTTTAAAGATATGTAAAATGATCTATGAACAAAAAAAATTTCATAAAATCAAAGCCCCTGGTTTCACGGTTTACGTTATAAAAATCTTATACTGCAATTTAAATTTTTAAACAGAATTTAGAATCACTGATTAATTTTTTTCTTGCTCCTGCTGAACAAATTTCAGGGCAACAACGCTTATGGTTCTGTAATAATAATAGACACTCATCTTATTCCCTCTTATCATTTCACTTTGCTTTTTTATTTTTCCAATTAAATCTGTGGAGTTGGTTAGCAACTTTTCTGAGAAATTTATACTTCCAATATATTAACATTTTCACTAAATCCTAGAAGACACAGAGTAACTATTTCAACTTCTAGTTTTAACAGATAGTCTTGATGAAATTATCGAACCAACATTTTTTTCTTTTTGCAATAGTTTGAAAGCTCAAGTGGTCAATAGTTGCAATTATTTTCTGTGTTCTTTATTAATTCACGCGAACTTAAACTCGAAAACGTTCAAATGAAATAAATATTGGGGATAAGTTAGGTTAAATAGATGTCATTATTTTCATAAGATCGGATACTTTTTTTTTTCTTTTCAAGTATAGGATATAATTTTTTTATAAAAATTAAAGTCAAGCAAGTCTTTCAGGCTCAAATTCCTGTAAATTTGTTTCTGACTTCACAGCAAAAGCTTTTAGACCTCTGATACTTTTAATCTCAATATATGGCTTCCTTACTGATTTTTCAAATTATTTATGTCTGAACTGTTATATTTCATTTGAAATATAACAGTATAGTTGGAAGCTCTATCCTGAACTTAGCTGTTATGGAAAAATTCTCTCATGGTTCATTATAGTTTTCTTATATTGTTTTGCTGATATACTTTAGCCTAGCATCCAACCTAGTAAATAATTATTTCAAAATAAGTAAAAATTTTAATTTTTCACAAAAACAACTAGCATGAAAAGAATTAAATGTCTCAGAATTTCTGTAAGAAATGTAGAAATTTTTTTTCTTTTGCTTACGACTTAATTGTTCTTTTTTTCTTTCAAGCAAGCCTTCCAGATTAAAGAAATGGTTGTAAGTTTCATAAACTGATTTTATAGTAATGATTAAAGTAATTTTCTTTAAACACCTTGTGTTGCCATTATATGCAGTATTTTCATATTTTATTAACCTTACAAAGAGTATGCCAGAATTTAATAAATTTAAATACTTGTGTATATCTTTAATATGTATATTTTGTTTAACTGTAATGTGTTCCCTTTCTTAAACGATAAAAAGTCATATCCTTTAAAAAATTTTAATCATAATTCATTTTTAAAAAAACTGAAGATGAAGAATTTTTTCTCCTTCTATTCTATTTTTAGGATAAAATGTCTAATCTAGAGATGAAGTTAGAATCTGTTCAGTTGCAGCTTGATCAAACTCTACTCCAGCTACAGGACTCAATTAACAATGAATGCACTTTAAAAGAAAGCCTGTCTTTGATGGAGGTTGAGAAAACAGATCTTACTTTAAGCCTGAAGACGCAATGTGAGAAAACAAAAGCTTTAGAAACCACTCTTAATGAAATGACTGAAAAAGTTAATTTAGTTAATGAGGAACAAATAGTTAAAGCTTCAGAGTTGGAAGAATGTAAAAAGCAGCTGACTCTCTCAATTCACAATGAGGTATTGAAACTTCTGGAGTTACGTTACAATTTATTTACATATTTATTATTCCTTTCTAAAACCCATTTCTTTTGATTCTCACTCTACTTCAATCTTATTACTCAGTGAGTATTATTTAATGTTATTTAGTTTATTTCACAGGGTTGCTATGCCACTTGAAAAACTGAAAAACACAGAAAATCTTATTGTAAAATTGGCTTAAAACATCAGGAAAACTCAATAAAATTTCATAAATTTTGGGAAAATATTTTATCTCTATAATTATTATTTTTACCTTCAATGTTCATAATTGCGGGGATAAAATTTCCTGTCTTATTTGTCCCCTTTTTGATCTGCATTTATTGATAGGTCATGATTACCTCCAGCAGCATCTCAATATAATCTGTATTGCAGCTTCCTCCCCTCTGTGTGTGTGGGGAGGGGAGGATTTCCAAAAATAGACATCTCATTGTATGCATCAAATTGAAACATATAGGCACTATGAATTTATTTTTTAAAATGTTCTTTAAAATTGCTTTCTAGTTTTTTAGGATATTATTTTACATTGATAATTTTCTTTTTTGAAATTTTGTGAATTCCAAGGGAATTTTTTTTTAATTAATCATTTTTCATTTAATGTGCAAATTCTAATTCATTATGTTAATGTTTGTAAATTATGTTGTTTGAAGTCTAGTTGACTAATTCTAAAAAAATTATACAAATACGCTCTTTTACCTGAGACAAAATGCCTTTTTAGCTAAGATTTTGATGGCTCGTTTCTATTTTTTGAGATGTACCAAAATTTCTTTAAATACTTGTCTGTCTTTATCATGTGTATTTTATAATGTATGTTGTAAAAATAATTTAGTACCATTTTTAGATGTTCTTAAAATTACAATAAACATCTGTACATTCATGCACAGCTAGAAGAGATTGTTCAGTTTTCATATCTAGAGGGTATTAAATAACATCCTAAGTATTTAAAATGCTAAGTCATGTTTAATTTCATCTATTAATTTGAACATTAGTAAATATTTATATTTGAATTTAAAAAATTTCTTTAATTTGTTTTGATTTTTTATTACTTAATTTAGGATTGTCTGAATACCAAACTACAATCATTAACTTCTTTATGTGAATCAACTCAATGTAAGCTGAGTGATTTGATTAAAAATGAGATAACGTTCAAAACTAAGATATCTTTGCTAGAAGAAGAAAAAATAAACCTTATTTCACAGTCCAACATTGAAACAGAAAAGGTATTGAATCTGGAAGGAGAAACGGCAGAACTAAAAGATCATATTACTACACTTAAGGAAGAGTTGAAGCTTAAAACTACTGAAATTGAGAAATTTGGAAATGAACATTTCATCATCCAACGACCTAAGGTACTATAAATCTATGTGTTTAAGTTTAAAATTAGTGGTCCTTTTTGAAAAAATTCTGAATAAATAAGTGTTTACAGTAATTTAGTTTCTGTACACTAATGCATCAAATATGCCAAAAGCCAGAAAACTAAGAAAAATATAAGTTATTGCAAGTCCACCGGGACACGTTAAGACCAGTGCAAAAAAAATGCTCTATTGGAAAAATTAATAACCAAATTTTGAGTATCTCACTAAAAAATTAATTTTTAATAATAACTAAACGAGAAAATAAGCATAATTTTGGACATCATATTGCATTGTTGCTTTTCCTTAATAATATGCAGGTGTTTGATAAGTCCTAATTAAAAGCATTGATTGTTCTAATATTCCTATTGAAAATTTTTAATGTTTAGCTGAATAACTGTATTTATATATCCTTTAAGAAAGTATGTGAACCTAAACAAACTTAGGCATTGATCAGACAATTGTTGTAAATGTTTACAATATTGTGTCTGAAAATCAGTTGTAAGAATTTAAGTTTAATTATCAGTTGTAAGTCTTAAAAGATAATACTTATATCTTGTAGTCACTATGAGAAATTGTTTATTGTTAAATGGTTTGAAAAAACTATCATATTTTACTATAGATATCTTGAGTGTCTCAACTATTTTAGAAAAGAAATATGAATGAGCTTCACCATATATATTTCTAATAGAATTTTAAGTTTCATTTTAATGGATGTTGTAAAATGGGAAATCCAATAATGGAATAATCCAAACCAATTCTGGATTATTCTATTTGGATGAATGAAAGTTGTCAAATATTTTTACTTAATGGAAGAAATAAAATTTGTTTTTGACATTTTAATTTATTCAGATTGAAATTTTGTCTGGAAGAAATCTATTTCAACTCTGGAAAAAACTTAAATTAAAATTGACCAATACATTTGCTNTGAGGTTCAGTACCACTGCCCGGGATACCCTACAACGATGTTTTTGTGAGGTTCAGTAAAACTGCCCGGTATACTCTACAACGATGTTTTTGTGAGGTTCAGTACCACTGTCCGGTATACTCTACAACGATGTTTTTGTGAGGTTCAGTACCACTGTCCGGTATGCCCTGCAATTTTTTTTAAGGTCAAGTGCCACTGATCAGTATGCATTTAACCGGTATTCCGAACACTGGTGTTTCTCTTAATCTCTCCTCAATAGATATTAAAATGTCGAATAAATATAATATCAGGGAATAAATTAATATCACTTTGGATATAACAAATATTTTGGACGTTCACCAAAGCGACTTTGTGATTATTGACATTCACTGGTGAAAGTCGACATTCTCTTGATTTTGGCCATTCATAATACAGTGAAACCCCGATTTTACGTTTTCGGTCGGACTAGCGATAAAAAACGCTTGAAGCGGAATAACGTAAAATCGGGATTAAGAAAAATCTATGCATATTTTTAAAAATTGACACCTACTAGTTAAATTAATGGAAAAGATTAGTAATCTTCACTTCCTCTTTGTTTTTAGCTACAATTTCATCTACAACTCGTTCAATACTAACATTTTATTGCAAATTTGCTTCTTGATTTACATTTGCAAATAAAAATTGTTTTAGAGTTTTTATGTTTGTTACCTACCCCCCTATTGACAAATGGAACAGAAAGAATGCAAGAATTGCTCCATACAGCTGAAAAGCAAGTTTTTCTTGTTCAAAAAATTAGAAAAAAGTTTGTGTGAGAGTTGTAGAATAAAAAAAAATTAATTTGACTTGCTGGTAGAAAAACGCATCAAGCAGGTTTTCATAAAAGGGATAACGCAAAATCCGGGATTTTTTAACATTATCGGTATAGGCAATTTTCACGGATCAGCAGAAAATGACGCAAGAAGCGGGATAATGTACGAAATGGACAACGTAAAATCGGGGTTCCACTGTACTTTTATGTTTTTTATTACAGAATATGTTTTGTACAGAATTTTAAAATCTATATAACTTAAAATAATTTATTTTCCTGAATAAATATGTATACTTGTATCTAGATGAAATATATGTACTTATTATTTTCATTTTACTGAATATTCTGTTTAAAGATAGGATTATCCAATTAGTTTATAAAATATTCAAAATTTATTCCTTTGCAAAAAAATTTTTGAATTAAATATTTTTTTAATTCTGTTTTTTTGCTTTATTTAGCAATTAAATATCTAGTTTTTCACTCCATAAATTTATAATTCCTAAATTACTAAGCTATCAATATATATATTTATAAACCTTAGCTATACCATTTATTTTTAAACTTGCAAGTTTTGATTTTTAGAAGGTAACTTGTCAGTTTGGATTTTATTTTCAGCTCAAAAAAAAAAAAAAAAATACTTTGAAACTGTTTACCACTTAATAAAATTTTTTAAAATTTTATAATATTAATCATTGATTTCAAAATGAAAACTCAGTTATTAGTAAATAAAAATATACAGTTTAAAATTCTTAATTTTTTTTATAAATTGATTTTATGATTAGTTAAGTAAAAATACAATTTGTATTAAAAAATATTTATTGATAAATGCCTTTAGCGTACTATGTTAGAATTGTTTCGTACATTCCTAACATTATTTGATTATGTAATTTAACGTGCTGTTTTGTAATTACATTGCATTGTATATTTTTGTTGTTACAATGTGTGATTTGTAGTATAATACAATAATTTGTTTTAAAATATTTTAAGATAGTTATATAATTATAAAGTTTACAGTGATTATGCTAGATTTTAGAAACTACAGGTCCTTAGGATGCAGGACATTCAAAACTGAAAAGTGGGTCCCTGTTTAAAATAGTATAAATCTCTCATTTATATTCATCAGTGGCAGTAATCTAACATATTCTTTTTAACTAATTTTAATATAGCGCCTTCCTCTGAATGTAACTTTTTTTTAAATTAAATGCTATTTTTTAATTGTAAATTGACGCATAATTTTATAAATATTTTATACCTTTATAAAATTAGGTAGTATATATTCCTTAAAATTGCACTCATTTAAATTTCCTAAATGCTAACTGAATATATTTCTGTGTCATTGTACTTCTGATTATTGATTGCTAGTTTGGTATGTTGGTCCCTCTAACTTTTAAACAACAAAGGAATCTTAACTTTCAGATTTATTAAATTAATAACCTTGAGAAATTTGTCTGCTTCTGGTAAATATATTTCCCATTACTCTAAAATATGTCGGTAATCTTTACTCTTTTTTCAATTAAAAATGTAGGGATTCTTCCCTTTTGCGTAGGAAACTAGGTATTTTATTTCCCAAATTTTAAAATTATAGCAAAGTTTATCAACAGATAGTGATGTCAATGGGAGAAACTATAAAACTATGTTTTCTGTTATCTGTCAAACCATTTTAATTAAAATATATGTCCAGGCATCTATTAATCTTTTACTTTCAGAATACTGTTTCTGAAAATAAGTTATTTTGAAAACAGTGTTTTATGTTCTCAACAGCATCATCTCTTGATAAACTAGTAACTAATTAATAAAGTTCAAAAGAATAAATATGTAGTTTCCTTAGCAGAGTGTAGAAACCATACATTTTTATCTCCTTCCGCTTTTATCTATTTAGATTTTCAAATTATCAGCTATTTTTAGGACACCCAGTATCTTGAGTCTGTAATATTTACATTTGGTACAGTCTAGCCAGTTCAGGAATTTTACTTTTACACCCTATATTTAACTCTTTAAATTGTTCCCTTTTTTTTTAAGGCCAACGAATTTGCTAATGGAGAACTGGTTGATGTTAAAATTTGGGCACTTAGTGATCTGAACTGCGTTCACTCATTGGAAAATAGTGTGATGACTAGTTTCAACAAGTATAAGGTAAATTTCAAATAATTTTATTTTAATTATTAACTTACTTACATATTTTTAAATGTCCTACTACTGGAAGAAAATATTTTTTGTTATAAATTTAATTGTTTTTAAGTGCTATTTTTAATCTTTCCATTGTATTTTAATGAGTTTGATCTTTATTCTTTGTAAATAAACAAAATGTAGAAAGCATGGTGATAAATTTAACAAATATTATAATTAAAATTTTAGACATGTAAACAGAATCCAAACTTTTAAAAGATGTTTATAAGTCCCTATTTAGCAACAAAAAAAAAAAGGAATTCTTTCATGTATACTTTTTGAACTATTATAATAAGAATTTTTATTTAGTAACTAATTTTTTGTTTTTACCTTTTATTACATTAAAAAGTGTTCTTTTGAACCTAGATACCCAATCTTAAGTCAGTATTTTTCAAAGAACTTTTTCAAATATCATGATAAAAAAAAGACAATTTCAATGGTCCTATTTAATGATAATGATCATTACATTCAACAAAACGCATTTAAATGCAATAAAAAGAAATCAGAAATATTAGTTACAAAATAAAGAAATCAGGGAAATTAAGTCAGAGTAAATATTTTCTGGTACATTCATTTAAAAACTTGTTACCTAAATTTTAAGCAGTTAGAGAATTGATTGAAAAGTTAAACTTATTTATTTTTCAATCATTAAATACATAGTTTATTTGAGCTTATCACTCCAAGATACTTGTGTGTTTTTATTTAGTGCTTTGGCATGTTATTGTTTAGTACAAGGCATGTACAGAAAGTAATTATTTTTGCTTGAAAGAACATTTTGGAAACTTTTTCTGCATATTTGCCACAACTTCACAAAAAGATTCTGCCACTAGAGACAGCTGCTGCTGAACATAATCTTTGTCATTGACTTGTGATAATCTTGTGCAAAACCAAAACTTTGTGGAAACCCATCACAAAGCATTAGTGTGAACTGTCTGCTTTCACGAATTTCTCATTCACTCTTGCAACTTAACCATTCTTAACTACAGAACCTTTGCCTACTCGGTGCTTTGTCATGAATATCGCTCCATTCATTGTAGAATTATCGAAACTAATTTCTCACTCTTCCATTACTCATTACATTTTCACCATAAATCTGTTATAAAGTTGATAATATATTTTTGGTGGCCCAACATTCTTTGTGTTCAGTAACCATCTTTGAGAAGGCACTTCATCTTCTACAATCATCTTAAAAAACTTTGAAGGCTCACTAATGAAGCATGTAAACAGGGGCAGATCCAGAAATTTTTCCTGGGGAGGGTGTCACGGACTCTGGTCCCCACACACACACACAACTGTTTTTTGTTTTGTTTTTTAAACTGGGGTTTTTAATGCTAGTCTTCTCATTTATTTTTTTCATAATGAACAATAGAACAATACATAAGTAATTCAAGTATTCAAAATCTTTAAGTAATAAATGTAATGTATTTTTTAGCTTTGGTTAAACCTGTTGAAGCATTACCTGAAACCTGTTAATCTTTTGGATTATGATTCTTGAAACAGTGAAGAACATTAGATACGGAAAAAATCGATTTTTTCGACCTACCTAGGTGTACATGCCCTCTTAAATAATTTTAAAATATTTTATTTCTTTTGTAAACTATTAAAAAATATTTTTTGTTTCAATTGGGGGGGGTGTCATGACCCCTATGACCCCCCTGCTGGATCTGCCACTGCATGTAAAAGCTACACAACCTGGCTGTAATGTCGTCAGTGGGTAGACAATCTGAGGTGTGTGTGCATGCAGGGAACTGTGATATAGTCCAGTGGCGTACGCAAGGGAGGGGTTTAGGGGTTTAAACACCCCCTTGAGCTCGGACAAAATGGCAAAAATAAAAATTTTAGTAGAAATTATGCGAGCTATTATTTTGTAAGACTATATATTTTTATGTGCCTTATGCCTACTTTTTTTTCTCATGGTATTTCTCAGAATACAGAAAAAACATTTACTGTAATAGGGTTGTACTTTTGAAACCAAAATCACGTGATATATATATATTTGCTGTTCTTGGATCTTTAGGATGTCAAAAGGCAAGAATTTAACAATTTTTAATTACTTTGAGAAAAAATCACGACCTGAACTTAGTGAGGTGACAGCATCTAGTACCAATGTAAGTTTTTCTGTTGTACAGAAATGTGATACTTCCGTTGAAGAAAACGTTTCTAGCATAACAAAATCTGATGAATGTGAAAGTGGCCCTCAAAGTGTTACTTCCCACCCATATGACATTGGACTTTTTTCAGAAGATATTACATTATGTTCTTAAACTTAAAAAATCAAATCAAAATTTAACTTAACAATGTTGGTTAAATGTTGTCAAAAAGTCGAAATTGTCCAGCTGTCCAAATTAGGGAAATAATAGTGCTTTATTACAGACTCAAATTTCTTTTAGTAGTTTCAAAAAATTATGAACACCCCCCTTGAAAAAAATTATGTGTACGCCCCTGATACAGTCCTTATGGGAGCAGCAGAGTAAAACAGTTTTTACTTTTAGAATGTGCCTCGTGATTTAGGAAATTTCCAAACATGCTGTTTGTTGTAAATCGAGATTTAAAATAAGTCAATATTGCAGATCTAGAATGTTCTGATTTATTTTTAAGTGATATTTTTTGTTTCTTCTACATAATTTGCTTTTCCAACGAACCTAAGAATATTTTCTTGTTTTCATATAATGATCTTTTTTGTAGGAGTGAGAATCAAAACAAAAAATTGAAAAATTCTGCATAGTTCTTCAGTTTTTATTTGGTGACTCATCAACTATATTTATGAAAGAGATAGAATCATTTTTCTTTCATTTTTAATGTTTTTTTTAACATTGTTATTTTATAAGTATTCTATTATGTGTTGTTTTTTTTTAAAACAAAATATTTTCTTTTCAGTTTTTATGGGCTTATCATCTCTTAAATGGCGAGGATTTAGAAAAATCTGAAATGAATGTCTCATCCTTAAATAGAATATTCCTTCTGCTGCAGGAGCAAAAAGCTATCTTGAATTTTATTCTCAGCATTTCAAAAATGAAATCAGTATCAGAGCAACTGAATTTCCTTTCCATTTCCTCACAGTCTAATTGCATTTCTGATATTCAGTTAGAAAGTATTGTTACTGATAATTTATTTAACAATATTTTAAAGATGTTGTGCGTAAATAGTGTACATATTTTGGAGTGCACAACCCAGAAAATTCAGAAATGTTTGCAAAATTTGGAACAGCCTGTCTCATTCTTAGAAAGCCAAGGTAACATAAACTCCAGTAATCATCACATTGCGATTACTTTCGATACAAAATATATTCTGTATGAATATAAAATTAGCAGCTATTTCTCAAAGAGAAACTCTAGTCCCACTTATCAAGAAAATCAATATTTCATGTGGGATTCAACTGATGAAAAGCAAATTAAAGATGTCTTACAAAAACTAAGTCTTAAAGAAGTTTCAAAAATTTTGGACTTTTATGCTATTTCAAATGATGATGCAGTTAATTTTTTTGACTCTGAGAACTTTAATCCTGAAGTTTTGCAATCAGTTACATTTTTACTTTTTCATAAATACAATCAAACTAGAGGAGTTGAAATTTTAAATGAACTCAAGCAATGGGCAAGCTTTAGAGATTTCCTAAATCATTGTCTCAAATCCTTATCTTGTATAAACATTAAAGAAAATCCTTGCCTTATAGGAATTGATTCAAAAAATTTTTGTATGAAACAGGTGGAAGTGGAAAATAATGCAAGTAAAAGCAAAGCATGCGTAAATACTTCGATTATTGAGAAAGAAAAAGATTCATTGGATCTGAAAGTAGAAAATACTGCATGTAAAAATGAATCATGCTTAAATTGTTCAGTTCTTAAAAAGGAAAAATCAGCTTTAGAGCTTGTTATAAGTAAAGAAAAAGAAAAACAAAAGTCATTAAATTCTACAATTGAAGAAATTGAGCAGGATCTAAGTGATACTTTCGTGCATAAATGTCAATTGCAGGATGCAATTATTGAAGTAGGAAAAATGTTTGATCATTTTATAAAAAAATCTATTGATTCAAGTTCTGAAAGGGTATTCAGTTCTGAATTTTTTTCGAAAACTTGCTTGTGTGAAAATTGTATTAAGCAGGATGGGGAAATTGCCCATTCAAATGATACAATACTTTCAGCTGAAACTTTTGCTTCATGGATTAATAAACTTATTGAGCAGTACGGTAAGATGAAGAATGAAAAACAAGAACTAATAAAGATAGTATTTCAAGAAACTGCTGGTTATAGTTCTGAAACTTCTTATCAAACAAATGATGAATTTCAGAAACTTGAAGCAGATGAGACTGAGTTTGCTGTTTTTGTTGAGCAGTATAAAGAAAAAGTGCAAGCTTTTGAAGTGCTTAAACTAGAGATAGCCTCCAAAGAAGAAAATATCAAAACATTACAGGAAACAATAAAAAGTCAAAAAGAAATTTTAGAAGACGCTCGTTTGCAATCTAAAGTTTATGAAAATGAAGTTGCAAAACTGGAAAGTAAAATAAGAAAGTATGAAATAACTGAATCCCATGAGCCTGTTTTAATTGGTGAAAAGGAAAAACTAATAATTGATTTGCAACAAAAATTAAAAGCTCTTGAAAAATCTAATGATGCTTTAAATTTAGATATTGAGAAAACAGAACAGCAGATCCAGACTCTTTCTGTTTCAAAACAAAAACTTGAGGATGAAGTTAACAAATTATCGTTAGAGTTGTCGAAGAAAAATCTGGATATAGAAACCTGGAAACATATGTATGAAACTGAAAAAATGTCCAAATCAGAACTTATGAGTAAAATACAGCAACTTGAACTTGAAAAAGTAGAATTAAAAGAAAAGTTTGTCCAATTTGAAATTCTAAACGATGATGCGGAACAGAATGAGACTGTTCTAAAAATTCAGCAAGAACTTCAGACTTGTCAACTTGCTGAATCAAACTGGAAAAATATGTATGAAGCTGAAAAAAAGCATACATCCGAAGTTTTGAGTAAGATCGAGCAACTTGAAATTGAAAAATTAGAATTGGAAGAAAAGTTAGTACAAATTGAGATCTTAAACAGTGATATGGAAGATGATTTGATTAATTTGAAGAAACTTCAGCAAGAACACCAAACTTGTCAATCGACTATATCAAACTGGAAAAATAAGTATGAAGCTGAGAAAAAATCTGCCTCGGAGCTTACAAGCAAGGTACAACAACTTGAAGTAGATTTAGAAGAAAAAGTTCAACAACTTCAGATTGTAAATGATGATTTAAAACAAGAGGTAAACAATCTGATAGCTTTACAACAAGAGCATGAAACTCAGAAGTTAAATGCATCAACATGGAAAGATATGTATGAAATTGAGAAAAAGTCCCTATCCGAGCTTATGAGCAATGTAGAACAACTTGAAATAGAAAAAATGGAACTGGAACAAAATTTTAAAAATCTCCAGATTGTAAATGAAGGTTTAGAACAAGACTTAGCCACTTTTAAAAATTTGCAGCAAGATCATGAAGTTCAAAAGTCAGATGCAATAACATATAAGGATTTGTATGAAAATGAGAAAAAATCCTCTTCACAGTTATCAAGTAAACTACTGCAGTTGGAAAAAGAGAAAACAGAATTTGAGGAGAAGCTGAAACAACTCCAGGTTGTAAATGATGCTTTGAAAAACGATGTGAATACGCTGAAAATCTTGCAACGAGAGCATGAGGACACACTTCTTGCAAAGAATCATAGTTTGAAAGAAAAAGATCATATTATACAGGTGCTTCAAGAAAGAAATAATGAAATTGAATCTAATAATGTGCATGATTCTGAAGAATTAAATGAGTTGCAGAACTTAAGGTCACATTCAAAAATAATGTCAGAAAATGTATCTTGCTTAGAAAAAAAAGTCCAGGATACTGCAAGTGAAAATATATTGCTACAAGACGCATTGAAAGAAGTAGGAAATGAAAGAGATGAATTGAAAAATAAAATTGATTCTCTAAAACTAGATGTTGTTAAACTAACTGAAGATTTAGAATTGCAAAACCAGGCCAATTCGGAATTGAATAAACAGTTAGAAATAAAAAAAATTGCATTGCTGAATGAGTCAGAGTTGCACAGATCTGCTGAAAATGCAATTCAAGTTCAAAAAGAAACAATTAGCAGCTTAAATTCATCTTTAGAAGAAAAAATATCTCAAATGGAACATCAAATGCAAATAATGAAAAATCAAACACAAGTAATGAAAAATCAAAATACGAAATTGCTAGAAAATGAATCAGTTAGTAAACAAGCAATTTTGGATTTGAAAGATCATATTCGCACTGCAACTTGTTCATTGAAAGAACTAGAATCAAAATATTCTAAATTATCTACTGAAAACAGTGCTCTTTTAGAAAAGAGGAGAGGAATGTCAATTATTTCTGAAAATGAAGAAATGAAACAAGTTTCACATAAAGTTAAATTTACCGAAAATATTTTCAATTTAATTGAAGAAATAGTTAAAGATTTTTCTGGTTCTAAATCAATTGAACAGATTGAAAATGACTTAAACTCTATAAAAAAACTCTTCAGTCAAAGTTCTGATTCTTCTAATATTGAAGAACTCTCTAAAAGTTTTTGTGATAATTTAAAATCATTCTTCAAAAATTATCTTTTGAACATAGAAGAGGTAAAACTCAAGATTTGCGCTATCTCTAATTCTGTTAACTATATGGGTCAATTTGTTGACTCTTTCTCCGACAGTGATAGTCCTAAAACCCTTCATTTTGCAGACAATATTGTCGATGTTACCTTCAATGAAACATTGAGGGAAAATCTAATAGAAAGAGCTGGAGTTTCACATGAGCAAGTTATTAAAGATCTGCAACAAACTCAAGAACTTTTAGAAAATTACTTCTCTGCTCTGAAAACAATTATTCTGAAGCAAGCAGATAATTGCAAGGATCTTAAATCCAAGTTGGATCAGGCATTATCAAAAGCATCTACCAGTGAATCTCAAGGGGTATATTTATTGATTTTATTAAAGCCATTGTTTTTCTTTTTATTACTTTTCGCTTTTAAACTTATGATGCTTTTAGAATGTTTCAGTTTACATTAGCAATTTTGGGATTTTAAATATTTATAAATTATATTTTCTTATTGAAAAAAAAAACTGCTTTTAGGACAAAATGTTTAAACATTGTTGTGGGATATTTAAGATGCCGTTTTGTATAGCCTCAAGGAATGATTTTCAAGCTTATGAGCAAATAAGAAGTTTGTAGAATTTGTATGACAATGTTTGCAACAAATTTAATTTTCTTATAAAATTACTATGATGTGAATATCCCTTAGTGCAATGGTCATCAAATTTTTGAAGTTTTTGAGCTACCATGCCGTTTTTAGTCCTTAATGTAGGCTATCAATAATGAAAAAATTTTATTTTTTTTAAAAAATTCTCTTTATCACTGAAACAATGATTTAAAGAATATTATATTTTACATTACTTTCTCATGCACTAAAGCATTTATCAGGTAATTAATTTATCTGAAATAAATGTTTTAAATTCTTAGTTTAGATTTAGTTTATTATATCTCTGTAATTAATATAAGATTTTGTCAAGGTTATTTGCTTTTTGCGCGCATAGATAAATTCTAATTTTTAAAGATTTCATTAAAGCTAATCAAAAAGCAATGTATGTGTCTCAAACAAGTTATTATTTTAAGCTTAAAATTGCAGCTTTAAGTGAATTAGAAAGTATATATATGTATATCGAGGCTCATATGCCCCTGGAAATACGTGAGAAATTGAAATTTGAACCAAAGGTCGAGGGGAAACGTAATTTTTCCTCAAAATCTAAACTATCCACAAAGTATGTTTTTTTTNTTTTTTTTTTTTTTTTTTTTTTTTTTTTTTTTTTTTTTTTTTTTTTTTTTTTTTTTTTGCAAAAAAATTTCTTAATTATTTGATAAACAAATATTGATCCCATTCACTAATAAATATTTAATTTTGAATTGGATGGGATATTTTTTAATCCAAATTTTTTTTTTTTTTTTTTTTNTTTTTTTTTTTTAATTTTTTTTTTTTTTTTTTTTTGTACTTAATGAATTTTCCAGATTTGTAATTTTTACATATTTTAGTCTATGTGATGATTGTATTGAATTAACAGTTCGAAACAAACTAAGTTTCCCTAAGTTTAAATTTTAAATGTAGTATTCTAAGAAAATATATCTACTTTTACAAACATCGTGTGTGCATTCTTATTAATATTAAATCATAATTTTTTTTGTAAATAAATAACTCTTTAAGTTTACTTAATGCGTAACACAATAAAAGTGATATATTACTAAGTTGTGTTATTTAAAATAAGCCATTGAAATTATTAAAAATGTGAGTGATTTTGTTTCCATTATTCTTTCGAAATGAATATTTGTATGTTGCATCTCTAATTTAATAGTAGCTATTGTTGAGCAGAATCTTGTATCTATTTACAATTAAAAAAACTCCTTGAAAAGGTTTTTAGCAATTTTTGCAATAACAGGACCCTATTTACACAAATTCACAAAAGCGGGACCCTGGTTGAAAGAATGTGACTTAATGCTTATTATTTTTTTATTCACAAAATGTATATATTTGTGTCCATAGTTAATGTACTAGTTAAGTTAATTTTTAATTAAATACTTAATCAAACTTTTTATTCTAGAATTTAACAATAATTTTTATTTTAGAACAGTGAAGATTTTGTTCCGAAATGGAAATTTAAGCTGGTAAGAGTTTCTGCTCATCGTTGGGAACAAGAAGCAATCAAAATACAGAAGTCCTTACAAGAGATTATTGATAATTTAGAAAAAAAACTCAAAGTTCATGCTGAAAAAATCGATTCATTAGAAAAAGAAAAAGTAAAATCAGAATTAGAACTCAATCAAAGAATCAGAACTCTTGAAGAGGAAAACAAAATGCTTGATGAAGAGGTATGATGACTCTTTATTTATAAATATTTTATTGCAATTGCACAAATCAATCAAGTGTACCTAACCAGATAGCTTTGTTAAGACAGCACAACAAAATTACGACAGTTGTAATAAATTGAAATTTATTATAGGTTTTTTTCAATACTTTTAAAGATAGGTTATTTGTCTGTAGATGGCNTTCATCCGAAATGAATATTCTGTGTTGAGCAGTATAGGCTAAATACCAAATATTTGTATGTTGCATCTCTAATTTAATAGTAGCAATTGTTGAGCAGAATCTTGTATCTATTTACAATTGAAAAACTCCTTGAAAAGATTTTTAGCAATTTTTGCAATAACAGGACCCTATTTACACAAATTCACAAAAGCAGGACCCTGGTTGGAAGAATGTGACTTAAGGCTTATTTTATATTCACAAAATATGACTAGTTTTTTCACAATTTTACAAAAACATGACCTTTCACAAAATGTCTGGACAGACCCCTGTATATATTTGTGTCCATAGTTAATGTACTAGTTAAGTTAATTTTTAATTAAATATTTTATCAACCTTTTTTATTCTAGAATTTATTTAACTATAATAGTTTCTATTTTATTTTATTTTAGAACAGTGAAGATTTTGTTCCGAAATGGAAATTTAAGCTTGTGAGAGTTTCTGCTCATCGTTGGGAACAAGAAGCAATCAAAATACAAAAGTCCTTACAAGAGATTATTGATGATTTAGAAAAAAAACTCAAAGTTCAAGCTGAAAAAATCAATTCATTAGAAAAAGAAAAAGTAAAATCAGAATTAGAACTCAATCAAAGAATCAGAACTCTTGAAGAGGAAAACAAAATGCTTGATGAAGAGGTATGATGATTCTTTATTTATAAATATTTTATTGCAATTGCACAAATCAATCAAGTGTACCTTCCCAGATAGCTTTGTTAACACAGCACAACAAAATTGCGACAGTCACATATACTCATTTGTGAAATCACATATAGTTTTTGAAGCATCAATGTGCAAGTCACAAAAGCTATGTTTGCCTTTGGGTACGTCACATATATGGTAATTTTTAATGGGAACACTTGACTTATTCTATTATTAATCTATGCATTTTGGAAAATGCATTGTTCAACATGCACCATTGAAGAGAGCATACCCCAGCCTCGCGTTTAAATTAGTCCACTTAATATATAAAACAAAAATAATCATTAGAACATTTTTTCAAACCAATACTAATCTTGTAAAAAAGAACAAAAATTATTTGTTAACCAATTTATTCTGGTTTCTTCTATAATTTAAATTTTATCCCCAACTAAAATGTTTTGTCATCTTAAGTAACTTTTAAGCTACTTCAAAACCATTCACAACCTTTTGCTAAAGAAAAAAAGGCAGTTGCTATTAACCAAATTCCAAAGATCAAAACTTCTTAAGAGTTCAAATGCTGTGACACTTCTCAAAATGTTCTATTTTCGGTGATATTGTTACTGCAACTATCATACGAGTTTTTCGTTTATTTATTCAAATGAACAATGTCAAAGAAGACCACTGTTTTTAAAGCTGTTGTATAGGTTAGTGACTAGTGCTTCGACTTTTTTTACCAAATAATACATTACAAATAAATAATTAAATATCACCAAAATCAACTAATGAAATTTAATGAAGAATTGCTAGAATAAAGCTTTTATAGAACAAAGCTATTCAACGCATTTAACAAATCAAAGAATTTTAATCTTTATACAGGAAACTATAAGTTCAATTTTAAGTGATAGCATCAATTCTGATTTTGAGCTACACCTTGAAAAGAATATGCTAGCTATTGTAAAATAAAAACTAAAAAAAACTTCCACTGCGTAAATTTTTTCCTTATTATAGGGATTAATTATTTTGAGTTTTCAAATTTAATAAGTTCATAATTTAAAATTCTTATATTTCTCCCTATTTCTTTATAAACATTACCTCCATGCATTTTGTTTTAGTTAAGTATTTTTACTTTCGTTTGTGTCAGTATTTCTGTGCATGAAACTTTAACTTTATTCCTATTCCTTTTTAATAAAAACACAAATTTTTAATGTCACTGATTGTTATTATGCCAGTTATAAAATTAGAAACCTAATACAAAAAAAAAAAATTATAGTTATTAGCACATAAACTTATGTTTTTACTGGGTAGCCCAAATATGTCAAGATAGAAACATAAGTTTCTGTGTTCAGCTTAAATCAGGATATTTGTCTCATCAAATTTAAAAAATTAGTTACAAAGTCAACTGAGCACACTGCTGATTGAAAAATAGTACAAAACAATGTTTCCACTGGCATTTTAATTTTGTCCTCCTCAAGTTTCAATATGTTGCAGCAAATCATGGTTTATTGTTTTGAGAACATTATTTAGTGAGTATGTTCAGTGACAATCTCTGGTGACAAGTTTTGTAATGATTTTTCGAACCATTGTTCATTTTTGGAACTCCTGGTGTTTCAAAGTTTTACTTGTATTAAAAAAGTTCTTTTTTTTTCAGGCTGAGGAGCTCAGTGAAGATTTTAAGAAGCTAGAGCTCTCCGAAAATAGAGATAAACTGAAGCTTTATGAAACTATAGATGCTTTGAAGGAAAAACTAGAGAAGACTGTAAAAGAATGCAATGAGTTGAAGGCTTGTGAGTTCCATTCTTATGAAATTCTATTATTCAGGGATGTTTTTCTGATTTTTTTTATTTTTCAAAAAAAGTTCCGTTTTTTTTTCGAATTCCTGAAAAAATTAATTTTTTATGCTTTTTCTTATTAATGTAAATTACATTCTTGCTATTTAAAATTAGACCGAGATTTGTATTAACGCGATTTTAAATCGCACATTGCGATTCATATTCTTACAATTTAAAATCGCACATAGTGATCTGTATGGGATTTAAAATTACTCATAGCTATTCATATTCACGTTATTTAAAAGTCATACATCGAGGATCGCATTTGCATGACATTCAAATCACTCATTAAGGTCAGCATTCATACAATATTGAAAAATTTGTACATTAAAATTTTTTACTGAAACGTTATATTATAAGGATATATGCTTCCTACTTACATTTGCTTTCTTGCTCAAATTTCAAGTATTTTTAGTGAAAGTGTATTTTGCACTTAACTTTTTAGATTTTATTATTTTTAGCATTAAAGTTTTGTTTTAAGAATTAAGATGATATTTTTTTGATAGCTGTTAGTCAATTTTTTATTTTTATATCTTAAATGTTTTTAAGTATCTTAATATCTAATTATCTTTATTATTCTAAATATTTTTGTTAAAGTTCTTTTCTCATTACCCTTTACCAACAATACAGCTAAGTTTTGTTTTTCAATAATGACTTAACTTATTTCTATTTAAAAAAATATTTATTGATTTTTTAAAAAAAAGAAAAAAATATTGCTATTCAGCTGTAAAATATTCAGTATTCAGACTTTTTTTTTTTTTTTTTTTTTTNTTTTTTTTTTTTTTTTTTTTTTTTTTTGCCAAATTACTATTCGTTGCATCCCTAATTATAATAAATAGTATAGATTTTAAAATTCAGCATAAAACTAAAATAGAACTATAAAAAGTTCAAATCAATCAAATATCTACCTTTTATCACAAGAAAAGTAATCATTGCTATTGTTGACAGATTCTTTCCACCTTATTAAACTAAACTAAGTTAATCATTTGTATAGAATGTTAAGTTGTGCAATTCTGTGATAAAAATACAATTTTTTTTATACATCTGTTGAATTATGCATTTTTACTTTAAAATGAGTATTTTTAAATTGGTATTTCTTAAAAGTATATATGGGAGTAACTTAAGCAATTATTTATTCACTAGGAAATTTTTCGTTTACTGTATTACTTCATGTTACCTTTTTGTATTTTCTTTTTTTCAGCAAGCATAGGCAAATAAATATGACGGCAGATGGTGAATAGAAGAAAGGCATATTTTAAGATATTGTGTGACTTGAAATATTTTGATACCTATTTCATGTAAAATAATTTTAACCGTGTGTCCAATCTGTTATTCTGAACGTGTAAATTTTTATTTTAAATTTTTTGTGTGTATATTAAGTATTTTTATATTTTGAACTCATCTTTTTAGATTTTTGTAATCTAGTTTGTTGTCTAGTTTGTAAATTTGCAACGTTTATTTTTATAAAATTGAATTTTTAAATTTGTGTAAAGAATTTTCATTTCTGAATCCATCTTATTAGAGTTGTTACAATATAGTACAACAAGAGTGCCCATACTTGAGGCCCCAGAATAGACAGTTTGTAACTCCCTATCCTCCTACTGAAAGATAATTGTTCATAACAAGCATTAAAAAAAAATTTGAACATTTTCAAACTAATTTCAATACATGTTATAATAATAATAAAAAGTCAAATGATTATCTTTTTGAATATTTTTACGAAAAAATTCCTTAAGCCAAGCATTATTAAAACAAATGTAGTTGTTAACTTTGTTTAAAATTCATAAAGTATACAGTTTATATACAGTAAAAAATATATTTTCTCTGAGAAAATTAAAAACAAGTCATTAAATAATAAGACTCGCTCTAATAAACTTCAGATGTTTTTTAATTTGCTGTATTAGTCTTTTATTATTTAAAACGAGGCCATATTTTCTTATTATACTAAGGCAGAATTTTCGACCGGGGGTTGGGGTGTTCCCCTTAACGGGAATTTCATAGTTTCAAGGTCAATCAGATTACTCTTAATTTCGACACCAACTTTTTTGCATCATCAGAAAATGAATAAGGGTAATGTGATCTTAAACTCTCAAAGAAGCTAAATTTAGTAAAAAATCCCTTTAGTTTGTCTTGATGTTTTGCAACATAAATTTCTTGAATTCAATGATAATTTTCAGCAAGAAACAAGTTTTTTAAAAAAAAAGAAATCCATCACATAATTTTTTTTCTGTGTTGGAAGATAGTTTATCAGAGCACTGTTTCCATTTCAGTTGACTTATCTTTGCAAGTGAGGCTTGTCAATTAAATTACAGATGAAAACTATTTAGAGAAATAGATTGAAAGGGGCATGTGTCTTTTCTTTGCACGGAACTCTCCTTGTATCCCATAATTAACGGAGAGGAAAAAAACATTACAGGCATCCTATTTAACAAAAAGTGACAACACAAAGGTTTGCTATACTAGTACTTTTAATATTTAAAGTATTGTAGGAAACGTTAAAGCTAGTCTTGAAGAGAATTCGTGGCAAACAAAAAAGAACCGTCATGACAACTGTGAAAAATTTGTTTCAAGAACAGAAGCTCTAACTCATATTCACTAGAAAATTTGTACAATGCTGAAGTAAGGAGTGTAATGAAAGCAGGGTGCTTGGAACGACCCAAAATGTTTTCACNCCTAATATTTCTTTTATTACTGCGTAATGTAATCCTAGTAGCTACTAATTCATTGTGTAATTTATATAAATGTTTGTAATAAATAAGAAAAAATAATATTTTTATTTAGAAGCGACGGGTTAGTTTCAAAGGAGGATGGGTACATTGTTGGACATTCCGTCCTCGGGGACGGGTAAAATTTCTGAGTTTTTTCGAGCCCTGCCTTGGAGCGACCCAAAATTTTTCACTATTTGACAAACTTTGCTTATCTATTCGACATATTTACGAAAATTCATTTTCCCTTATTTAACTTAAAAAAACACACATTTAATCATGATCAACGCGTTTTACTTTCTTTAAATTTCTAATTCATTTGGAGTAATTAAATTGTAAAGCTCTGTGGATTGGGGAGCAATGAATAGCTGAGGGCGTATCTTGTAATGTAATTATAAAATGTAAAAAACTATCAAGATACAAAGCATTGGGTTACTAGATAAAATTAAGAAGAAAAGAATGAGATGCTTGCTCCGAAGTAACTGCGTCAGAAATTTTGGGGAATAGTGAGCAAGAAGCCTTGGAATTAAAATGTCTTAAGTGATAATCCCTCTAGTGACTATAAAAGAAAATATATATGTGTCCATTAAATTGGGACGAGGCTTTTATAAAATCCCTTCGAATCTATGATGAAAAAAATTTATATAAATTATCAAGAGTAATTTTAAAAATAATAATTTTTATTTAATCTGTTTATATGATGGTTTTATTAATTAAATTATTATTAATTATGTAGATTAACTTGAAAAATTAAACTTAGTCATGTGTCATGTCTTTTTTATTATTGTTCTTTTAAATACAACAAATATATTTTAAATAACTTCAGCACACTTTTTTTTTTGTAATTGTTTTTTTCTTTGTTTTTCTTAACTATTTAAAATATATTTTCATTTTAAATCAAGATTCTCTTTCTATCTATTTTATTTCTGTCTAACATTTGAGGAGATTACTAAATTATTTGATTCATAGGATAGTAAAAAAGTTATACCCTCAACTAAACTGTGAATCAGTTTATTTAACAAATGGTTCATCATTTATTGATTAGAATAAAAGTAAGGCATTCAGCCCTTTGTGTGTCATAAGTTTCACGGAAAATGTGGCAATCGCCGATTATGACAATGTGGTCTGTGCATTACGCACAGGAAGACTTTGCTTCCAATACAAACTGGTACCCATCGATCTGAAGCTGAGTAGACTTCAAGCCGTAAATGGGAATTGAACCCCCGTTTTTCACAACTGCTCAATACCTTACCTATTAAACAATCACAGCTCATTGATTAGAATAATTAAGTATAAAGTCATTATTGGTGGGAAAATAACATATAGTGAAAATATTAGCAGCAAAATATTTCTTTTTATTGAGACTAAAAAATTACATACTTTCTAAATTTCAATCAGAAAAATAGGAATTTCCGCCCGCCCAAAAATATAAGTTTGCAGCGTCACTGTGAATCAACAATCGTCTTGAACATGGAGTGCAATACCTTTCCAATGATTTTAAAAAGCATAATGACTTCAAACAATTTATAAATGAACTGCTGAGGAAAAAGTGTAGACAATTAGTGATTTTTTTTTAAATTATGTATAATTTTTTATATTTTAAAGGACTTATGCAGTACATTAATATAAAGCTAGTTTTTTTTACGCATTTTATTTTCAAACTGAAACTGTGTGGCTTAAATTGGTGAATTTATCTTTTCTTTTTTTTATTTATTTATTCCTTTATCATTACCAATCTGTTAATGTTATCAAAATCATTGTGATTAAATTAAGCGGAGACTTTCGTATTTAGATTTTTATAAATAAAATATTTTAAAGTGAAAAAAAAAATTGTCTAAAAATAATACTTTTATAAATTATTCTTTTATAAATGCATATTGTGGTAACAAGTCTATGCCAACAGAGCTCAAAAAATGTTTTTGCTATAGATTTGCTTGGACTCAACTTTTGCTGAACAATATTGTAATTTTAAGAAATGCTATTGATAAAATTAAATAAAAAGAAAACTCTCAAGTACACTAAGTTGAAAATAAAAATTAAAATGATATTGGTTAGTTCTATATAATTGATTTGGTTTCGATGCATTAATTTTTAAGCATTAACAAAAACTTCAACCTTTACAAAACATCAACAATTTCATTTTTTTTAAAAAATGCTTCGTTGTAGAAATTCTAATCTGGACAGAACGTAGCTCCGCTTTTGTTATTAGCGAAGATATAATAGAGCTGGACGATTTTCAAATCTTAATATGACCATTTATCATTAAAACCGTCCTGAATTTTCGATATGTAATGATATATCGCGATGCTTTTCCATTTTGCATTATTTTTACGTTTGGCAACAATTTTGTTCCCCCAATAATTTATTTCACAAAATTGTGTTGTTGCATTGCATTATTTTTATTTCCCCTTCAAAACAGTAATGAATATTTTTTACCGAAACTTCAAAAAAGAAAGAATAGTAATTGCTTGCGCTGAAACTAGTACTTTTAATGCAAGTTATCATTCATGTTAATATCGTATTCTCATGTATCAGTTTATTATCGGTAATGATTGCGATATACGTTTCGTATATTTACGATATTTATATTTTTTCGATTTTATATTACGATATTTATATTTTTTCGATCGAAAAAAATTATTTTTCGAAATGATAATTTATGATGTATCGCCCTAACTTATAAATTTTGCTTTTAATTTCATAAATAATATAACTGTTGCGATATAAGGGATATGTTTAATAAGCCTCCAAAATATCAGGAAAGCAGTGGCATAATAAATAACACTCCCTCGGTGCTGGGAGTGAACGATCCAGAAATAATACTCTATATGTAAGGGTGCGCAATCTGCGAATCGAAACCATTCCTGATTGAGACGCCTTCTGTAACACGTGCTTTGCTGGTTCGCCGGGCCATCTAACGAAAGAAGTATACAGAATTCCGTGTACCAGTCGTCGGGCCACTCAACGTTCAGTCACTGTGACGATTCCTGCCTCCTTCGTGAGCATTTGATGCAAGATAGCGGGCTGCAGAACTTCTGCGATGTCGTTCACGGATCAATGTTTTAATGACAGAACATCGACCTGTAGTAGTTTCCAGATCCAGTCAACGTGTAAGCTGGCAGTAGTAAATTGTTGTAGCATTGACCAAAGAGCGTGATTTTGTATCGACCTCTCGGTAGTGGCATTTACGTCCGTTCGCGCAAATGTAATGGCTGCCATTTGCGTTTGAACCCGTTTGGTTGAAGCATTTATCGCGAAGATAAACTCTACTGTCGGCCGATAGGTTCTTTAAGGTTAAATTAGTATCGGAGTCTGGTGATGCCTATTGCTTCACTGAAATAAGTAATCATGCACACAGCAAGATATCTACATCAAGCTAAAGCGCAGCGAACTACTTAATTGCTGATCATTCTCAACTGCTTTTCCTATAACATTCACGTTTTTCCTGTTCCCACAGTGGGCTGATAGTTAAGACACGGTTTCCAGCAGATCACCGAAGTCAAGCATCACTGGCTGCTGTGAGTGTGCAGGTGGGTGACTACTTGGATCAGTCTGCGTAGGGACCGAGGGTGTGAGGTTATTGATCCTCGTTCAACTGCTCTACCGTAAACAGGTCGACTTCGCGTGCAGGTCGTCGGACTACCAAAGAGGGGGTGCCATCCTTAAGGATTTTTCCCAGACCGTCGCCAATAGCCCATTGTGCAGCCTAGTGCGACGTAACTACAACAACAACGTTTTTCTACACCCACACTTCATTTTTTGTAGCACGATGGCAAAGTGC